GAAAACTTCTCTATCGATCAAAGTCCCGTCTTTTTTAATTCCTAATCAGTACAGTTGAACTAAACATTTCGCAATTTGGTTTTATTTAGTGATGATATTTTATTCTGATTATTATTTCGAACAATTTATTTGAATCGCATTTCCATGCGATGAAATATTTCTCACTCACTAATTTTAAAAGTTTGTGTTTGCTACATTTTATAGAGTAATTTAATGAAAATTAACACATTATGAAAATTAACACACATCAAAATTAACATTTAATGAAAATTAACACATGAAAATTAACATTTAATGAAAATTAGCACATGAAAATTAGCATTTAATGAAAATTAACACATGAATTAATCACAGTAGTCTGTGAATAATTTTTTTAATTTAAGAAAATAAATAGTCCTACCAAGTATACAATAGATCATTTATATAATCATAAAAATTCAAATTTAAAACGTTTTTCCTCCGTATTTTAAATTAACAAAATATTTTTTACCCTTTATAATAGTAAAGTATTTCTTAGGACTGGAGATTTTATTTAATTTTATTACCGTCGTTGAACAGCTGACCCAATTTTTTTGAGTTTACGACTACTAATGTTCAACTTCGCAGCCTACTAACTTTGAACCTAATCCAGAATTCAAGAAAAACTCCAGGATCAAATATTGGGAGAAAGTTTGAATTCGTGGAGGACGTTTCAATGGAACTAACCCGCATTTGCGTTAAATGGAGGGGCAAATCAAGGATATCTCCCACGGTTAGCCTGACGGAAAGGGGACTCTAACCCATGATCTGTCTACCACTGATAATATTTTTCGTCAGCACTGTGGTCGGTGCTAGCCGGCTGCGGACTTCAAATCTCAGTCATTCAGTACAACTAACACGCATGCTTTATCTCGTGTCGGTCAGTTTAAATTTTGACACGGTGATTTCAGTTTGTTAATGTTCGCTTTTTACGAAGTGTGCTGATGCACTGAGGTAATATATATTGCCGTTTTTGTGAATGTTTTTCTTGGTTATAATTTACGTTCATGTTTCTACTCAATAAAAGATCTTATTATTTTTATTGGGTACTTATTTCAAATAGTCGAATAAAATTCAAGCTAAAGATTATTTTTATTGACCATTCAGCAAACCAACTGTCAGCCAGGCACTCTGCTTTATATTAGCGATATCTCTTGGCCGGTTCAATTTACTCGAAAAGTCAACAAGATGCTAAGATTTAAAGGTGCGGTAAAAATTAAGTCGCTTTGAAATATGTTTCTTCAACAGGATTTATTATATTTGATGTAAAACATTGATATCATAGGGCTTAAAATGAATGGTTATTTGGTCTGAAATCACTATAAGTTGACTAGGGCCATTGAAAATTATTGTCAGAGGTCCTCTGGACCAGCAATAAATGTTAAAGAATGCTATTTTGCTATAAAGTCTGCTATTTTGATTTTTTTGACTTTATATGCTTTAGTTTGTGTTTTTATTACGTAATAGCATATTTCATAGTAATTGTAGCATTACTCATTCCGTGCATTATAATTTTTCATTCAAATTCTCAGCATTAAAATGAAAATAGCATATGTGAACGAACGAAATAAAATGTGTTCAAGCTAGCTTAACCCTTTTATCTACGTTCCTTTAAGCCAGTGACTAAATTTTTTTGATTTCCTCTCTAGAGAGCATTTGAGTTAGTGCATTTTTTACTTTTCTTTATTTACTTAGAGTTTCATCCTTAAGACCAAATGAATATTAAATTTCCAAATGAATATGAATTTCCCTTAATTTATGATTACCAGTGCAGTTGATATCCAAATGCAATTCCAAATATGATAATTGAAAACAAAATATTATAAGCATTTCAGGTAGAGAATTTCATATTATCGCAAACCAGATCTATGGAAATTTTCGTTTGTGCTTTGTATCAATAAGCATGCGCAATAGCATCGATACATACCCTATATCACTTGCAGGTGTCCCATTAATGACGTAGAAAATTTCATTAGTTTTACTTTTTAATTGGTAGCCAGTCGCATTTTTTGTGAAGATGATCAGCTGATCATTGCTACATTTTTTTTTACCATTTCATGCATCATAATATAACTTTTTTCCTAGTTCTTAATTTTTAAGTAAATTACCCCTAGCCGCCTGTATAAGGATATACCTTGGCAGTACAAATCTGGATTTTTTTTCTTCTTGTTTTTTGCTTGTTTCATGTTCTAATATCAAATGTGTTTTTCTTGTTTTATTTGATTTTACAAATTGTTTTTTCTTTGTAAGGATTTTTTAGATGTTATGAATGAAAAAAAAATATTACTTGCTATCGTAACACTCGGATGTAGGAGAAGACCATGTCTCTTCCCTCTGCTCTAATGTATGGAAATGTGCTACGATATTTTCCCGCTCCATAATATTAACGCCTTTAATTGTCCAAAATATTTCCTAAAATTTCCTCAACGCCTTCTGCAAGCACTATGTTCAATGCAGTTTTGAGTTACATATAGTTTCCTAACTTAAAAGCTTCTAACTCGTTTGAAAAATTAGGACAGAAACTAACGTACTTCCTTGTCCTAAGACTATCCACATGCTAATGATGAAAAAATGCTATCGAAATGGACTACAAGTGGCATAGAGTAGAAATCTCTACCTATGGCAACACTTCACATGCATTCACCATTAGCACGTGGGGAGTCATAGGAAAAGGAAGTACGTGTCTTTCAATAGATTAAAAACTTTTAATATAGAAAACTATGCGTAACTGAAAGCTACATTGAACATACTTCTTAAGGAAAGCGTTATGGAAATTGTAAAAAATATTTTTGACCATTAAATACCAAAAATAGTGAGCAAGGGCAGGGCCCGATTAACCTCTGAAAATAGGGGAAGCATAATAGGATTTTGGGGCCCCCCTAACTTGAGCAAAAGAAACTTGATATTTTTCGCCCATCAACAATACATTTTAAAGAGGGAAGAACCATGTGAAAACTATTAGAACCTTAGAAAGGAATACAGAGATCCTATGCAATCATGTTGGACCCTTCTTTACGTGCTTTATAAAGCACGTAAAGTAGGGTCCAACATGTATAGTAGCCAACTATATATAGTAACAAAAACATGAGGGAGTAGCTAGCACATATGTTGAAAAAATTTAAATATTTCACTAAATTAAATTATAAAATTNTGAGGATTCGTGAGAAGCTCATCATCAGGGATGTTTCCCAGACCGTCGCCAATAGCCCATTGTGCAGCTCTAGTGCGACGTAAAGTAACAACAACAACAACAAAACAAAATATTATAAGCATTTCAGGTAGAGAATTTCATACTATCACAAACCAGATCTATGGAAATTTTCGTTTGTGCTTTGTTTCAATAAGCATGCGCAATCACTTGCAGGTGTCCCATTAATGACGTAGAAAATTTCATTAGTTTTAGTTAGTTAGTTTTATTAGTTAGTCGCATTTTTCGTGAAGATGATCAGCTGATCATTGCTACATTATTTTTTACCATTTCATGCATCATAATATAACTTTTTTCCTAGTTCCTAATTTTTAAGTAAATTACCCCTAAGCAGCCTGTATAAGGATATTTCTTGGCAGTACAAATCTGAATTTTTTTTTCTTGTTTTTTGTTTGTTTCATGTTCTAATATTAAATGCATTTTTCTTGTTTCATTTGATTTTAGAAATTGTTTTTTCTTTGTAAGTATTTTTTGGATGTTATGAATAAAAAAAAACATTACTCGCTGTCGTAACACTCGAATGTAGGAGAAGACCATGTCTCTTCCCTCTGCTCAGATGTATGGAAATGTGCTACGATATTTTCCCGTTCCATAATATTTTGCGCCTTTAATTGTCAAAAACATTTCCTAAAATTTCCACAACGCGTTCTGTAAGAACTATGTTTAATGCAGTTTTGAGTTCCATATAGTGTCCTAACTTAAAAACTTCTAACATGTTTGAAAAATTAGGACAGAAACAAGCATACTTCCTTCTCCTAAGACTATCCACATGCTAATGATGAAAAAATGCGATCGAAATGGACTACAAGTGCCGTAGAGTAGAACTCTCTGCCAATGGCAACACTTCACTTGCATTCACCATTAGCATGTGGAGAGTCATAGGAAAAGTAAATACGCGTCTTTCTATAGATTAAAAACTTTTAATATAGAAAACTATATGAAACTGAAAGATACATTGAACATACTTCTTAAGGAAAGCGTTATGGAAATTGTAAAAATTATTTGTGACCATTAAATACCAAAAATATTAAGCAAGGGGAAATATCGTAAAATCCCCTCTGCAGTGGATCAAAATTGTGATGGCATGTCTTCGGATCATCCTCAGGGTTGTTTCCCAGATCGTCGCCAATAGCCCATTGTGTAAGTCTAGTGCTACGTAAATGAACTACAACAGCAACAACTGAGAAGAGCAGGAAAGGGAAGGGGGAGGATCAGGAAATGGAGCTCTCTAGATGTCATATACGAGAGTTACGATCGCGAAAAAGTAGGGAGTTTAGCATTGCTTCTTCTGTAGCCAATTTCAAACGCTAATTATTAAATAAAATGATTTCTAAATGTTTGTAACCATGAAAACCAACACATCTTCCCCTCCAATGAAACAGCACCTCAAACAAGTCAGAAAGAGGCACAACTTTAAGTTTGAAAAGGTATGTTAGTTTGAAATGATAATGACTACATCTAATGACGCTGCCATCTAGGGAAATAAATGGGATATTAAAGAGTCTCGTTTTTTCTTCAAAGAGTGTCGTAAGTAAAATTTACCTTTTATATGACTCAGACGTCATTAAAATATTTTTACTTTATCCTTTTGTTCCGTTTCTCTTAATAAAAAAATTTAAAAATATTTTAACGACATGTGAGTCACATAAAAAGTTTTATTTATAAAGGTATTTTTATTTCTCATTTACCTCACTAGATGGCGTCATCATTAGATGCAGTCATTATCATTTTAAACTAGCAAACGTTTACAGACAATGACCCAAAGTGTTGCCTCTTTCTGTATTCCGCTTTCCCAAAAGAGGAACGAAACAATCAATGATGTAATCAATCAATCATTATCAAATTTGTAATATTTTATTTATTTATTTACAATAGTATCTGTTAGTTGCAATAACTTTCTAGGAGTGGCTTACTTTCCGTTAAATTATATTGAGTCTGTAATATTTTTGTAAAAACCATGGGGAATGCTATAAAACCTCACATAAAAAATGCGGAGAGAACGGGTGTACTTCAAGTTGAAAATACTGGATTAACAGAAGTAATATTTTTACAAGTTTCTTAATTTTGTTCTAGGGAATATTTCGATATCATGATCTGTCGTACCAACTGCAATCGCCAAGATGCTACATAGATTTTATTATATATTGAATATGAGAATAAATATGTTGTAAATTGTGTAATTTCTTAATGAAATTAGTAGGTGCAACTTTCATAATTTTACTTCATTAGTAGTATGTACGAGGATATACAATTTTCTTAATTCAGAAAAAGGAATTTACGTGTGATAAATATACTTTTTTTATTTTTTTCATGCGTTAAAATCTACGAATAATTAGAGGTTAATTGGAAAAAACTTCGGGGGAATTAGACTAAGTAATTAGAAAATGAGATTAAAAATTTAGAATATTTGATAAAAGTTATATATATTTTTTTTAACTTGAATTTTTAGTTGACGAAGGAAGTTCAGTATTTTTATCTCCATACTAAGCTGCATTCTGAGTATTGTAAAATAATTTGTAAATAGGTAATTGCCAAATATCTATAAAATAAACTTTGTAAGAATAATAAATTATTATTTTTTCTTAATTGAGATTTCAGTGTTTTTATTTGTTCTTATTTTTCTTTTTCATGAGATCTCCAATGCATTTCATTTATAACATGACATTTAATTTTAGTTGTGCAACTTTTATAACTTTGCTTTATAAAGAAAGTTTTTTTTTTTTTTTTTTAAAAAAAAGTTGTTTTGAAAAACTTTTAATTTTCTGGTTTAAATTTAAGCTATTGATATAATAATCATTGCTAAACATTTATATTGATTATTTTCAGTTTTTTTTCATTTCGTATAGTTTCTCCCATTTTTTCCCTTCTAGTTTTGTCCAGTGTCCTGGAAAAAATTTGTTTATTTTGAACAAAATGACAATTCCAGTTTAAATTGAATAAATATTAACTGGTTTAAATATTGTATTTTTATGTTCACTTTTTCAGTTTCCTAGAGAGGTGTTTCAATTGGTTAATGTACTGAGGACTCTCGATATATCAAATAATAAGATTGGGAACTTGCCGCCTTCGATAGGAAATTTTACTCATTTGAAGCACTTAACTGCCAGCCACATTAGATTGAGTATGCTTTTCTTAATATTCTTCTTTTGAAATTAATTTATTTGATTTACAATTTTTTAAGGTTTGTACTTCATCCTTCTGTTACTTTATTTATTTGAATTATGATTGCGTTATCGAGTATGACTAATATTAGGCTCGAGCCATTATAATTTAACCAAAACTTCAAATTGCTGAAGGGGAGCATTTTTGAAGAAAAACAGCAAAATTATCATGAACGGAGACCAACAAATCCCGGACATCGGGTCCTTTAGATGACTAGAAAAATTAGAATAATGTATAGTAGAAAAATTTGAAAAGTTAAGTTACTTTTTCAAATAGAATAATTTGAAAAAGTGATTTGTTGCTTTTATATTTCTGTGGCTTATTTTCAACATTTCCTTTTCCACACATCACCATTTTTTTTAATCTACTGTGTGGAAGTAACAAAGATCAGCAGTTTCGTATTAGAACTGTGACTCTTAAATTATTCTGAAAAATACTTATATTACTACAGCTATGTATTAAGTATCATACAATTAAATGTATTGTTACTACTATTAGAATATATAAAACTTAATGCACCTCATATCTATCTTATATGTTGGTGGTTTAAAAATCTCTGTTTCACAGTTGTGATTATAAACCCTAGGGGTGCATATTGTGGGCCCCTATTTATCATTAAAATCTTATTAGATTTTCAAAATTATAGAAACCTTAATAATAATTAACTAGTGTTAAGTTCATAATAAAATATTAATTAATTTAAAATTATTATTATAATTATTTTGTGAATTATAATATTAGAATCAGTTAATATACAACAAAATATACATGAAGTAATAACAATAAGCACAAAGGTAATTTTTTCAGTAAATAGAACTGTAGTTAAAAATAAGTGTACATATTGCTAAAATAAGTGTAACAGTAACTGTTACAAAAACGGTCTTCCGTTTTGACATTTTCAAAATTATTCACAGCTTCAAAAGATTTAGCTTACTTAAGATTTCCTTGTAATGAAGCCAATTATTTATCTCTTATTATGGTTGATCTTGATGTTTCTATTTTATTGGATGAATTTAAGTTTTGACAAAGATCTTTTGGATTTACTGTTTGTTGTGGGTATCAAAAATGTATCTTCAAAATTGCATATACACTAACAGAGATGCCAACTTGCTCTGGACAGCAAATATATATTTTAAAGTGGTAGTTTATCAATTGTGATTCTTGGTTTAATAAATTCAATTTAGTAGATTTTTATCCACCACTATTTCGAAATAATTTGTAGCCTTATGAAATTCACCACTTTATAGTACTTATGTCATACTATACCTTTTAAAAAGCAAGCAAAAATAGTCAAATATTTGCAAAATTTACTTTGTAGTTATTTACTGTTTTTTAAATTATTTTGGCATGTCTGGAGCAGTTGGCATCTCTGCACTAATAGTCATTTTTAATTGTGTATTTGACAATATTCCAGACAATTTTCTGAAGGAATGCTCTTTGAATCATTAAAATGAATCATTTCTGACCCTAAGTTTTCATTAAGGTGATCCATGATAAAATGTGATGCAGTTTTTCAAAGAGCTTTCATCTACAGTTTTGAAAATTAAAACTGAAATTAGACAGTAATTTTTTACAGTTTAGAGATCAAGTTAGAAATGCAGTGCAGAATTTATCAATAATTATATGGAAAATTTCATGCAGATTGCTTTGAATAAATATGACTTATTTATGTAATTTACTGCAAAGAGTTGCTAAGTAATTGTTCAAACAAGAATTGATTTGTTACCATTTTCTCTATGTCTCTTTTCTATGTGCAGGGTATCTGCGCACCTGGAAAGTCATGAAAAGTTATGAATTTCGGTATTGAACAGAATTTGTCATGAAATGTCACGATTTTAAGTATTTTTTAAAAAGAAACTATGAAAAATCATGGAATTAGGTCGCCAAAAAATTTTATTTTAAAATGGTGTTCATGTGTCAAATTTCATGGTGTTCCGAATATCTAAATTTGTAACAAAATCCCCACTCGCAGTCATATTTTATTAAAATATACCCAAGATGTTTTTATCATATTCTTCAAAAATTGTGATGTTCTTTCAAAATATGAAAGAAAAAATATCATTTCTAGAGCAAATTATCTTTTAAACTTCTGTGATTTCAGAATTTTTGTTATTTTTTTATTTTTATCTTATGAATTTGAAATTCTAGCTGAAGCAAGCCAGTCATTGGTGAATTTTTTTTTATTCCGAAAAAAGAACAGAAGTATCTCTTTCCTTTTCGATGAACTAGAAAAATATCTTTCAAATATAATTCTGCAAAAAAAAGAAGAAAAAAATTTTTGCTTTTGCCTTTTTTCAGCTATTTTATTGCTTCAACTCTTTCTTTACTCTGTTTTTTAAATTTAAAATCTGTAAATATGAAGATGCAGAGTATAACAGTTTTGGTTATAATTATCATTTCAATTAATGTCATTATAATGCTTTTTCAAATTTATTGTTGTGTTTTTGTTGGAGAAAATAGTAATTTGGTTAAATCATGAAAAGTTCTTGGAATTAGTCATGAAAAGTCATGCATTTGAAAATCTTAAATGTAGCAGATACCCTGTTTGTGATAAATATAATTTTCTAAGGAAACAGAAGTTCATTATAAATGAAATTTTCAAATTTTTTTCATAAAATGCCACATTAGGGATGCCTGTTACAGGTTTTTAAAAATTAAATTATTTTTTTATTAACAGCTTTCTTCCACCATCCATGTTAGCCCCTGTCTCCGACCCCCCTTAATCCGACACTGGTTGCAATACGTATTTGTTTTTCTCTTTATTGAAACACAAAACGGAGTTGGCTTTGAAATGTGCTTCTCATTTATCCAAATAATTAAATTAAAATCGTTGATATTTTTTATTTCACACAAATAAATTGTTAAGAATTACAGCATAATTACTGGAGTGTTTTTAACGTTATATGAGTTTTTCAGCTATGTGTTGTTTCTCTAATTTGCAAATACGCAATGTATCATCCAAGAATTAACTTTTTTTTTTATTTGCTAATTCAATTTCTCTTGTTCAATTTGGGTGGTCTTTATGCACTTGATTATAATGTCGATTGTAATTTTAATTAAATCTACGTTATTAAGCTGAGTAATTTAACTGTAATCTTATTTACAGCTAAAAAATAAACCTACTTTTGTCTTTTTTGTAACTAAATGGAATCCTTTTGTTTCTTTTTTTCAGCAACTCTACCGGATGAGTTGGGTTCCCTTAAGAAACTCGAAAGTGTGAATTTCAGCTTGAACTCGTTGACCTTTCTCCCAGAATCTTTTCAAGAATTGGTGAATTTAAGAACTCTGAACCTAAGCAATAATAAGTTTAGTGAGCTCCCTGCTGTTTTTTCCAAAATGAAGCGCCTCGAACTTCTGGACATGTCACACAATGAACTCGTTGCAGTACCCGATCACGTGAGAGATGTTTCAGCCATTGAAATAAATTTGAACCAAAATCAGGTGATTGACTGTTTCTAAACACTGATGGGTCCATTTCTTTGCTTTAATTCACAGCACCTGGTTAGTCACGCTTGGATCCTTTTAAGTTCTGTGTGTCATTAAATTGCTTCTTTACCAATAATGCCTCTGAGGCAGCAGATTAGAAAACGAACCATGAACGTCATTAAATCTGAATAATACCTTAAAAAAAACACCATTGGAGAGAATACGGTCATTAATTCTTCTAAATTATTAAAAATGCATGGTGATCTATTCTTTTCTTATTTAATGAAACAAAATAAAATGTGAACCTTCTTGTTGCACCATCTTTCAACTAATGCTAATAATTACTATTACTAATTATCATCCCTGTGGCAGAATTGCGGCGACATTGCTGCAGAATGTAACAGAGTTTTTGCAGAAAGATTTTTCAATTGGAAAGGGAAAATTTTTGGTTTTCCTTTCTTTATAATTTTTCGAAAAATGTATTTTTTTTCTTCTGCAGAATTTTTTTTCTTCAAAGATGTCTTTCTTGCTCATCAGAGAGGGGAAAAAATAATCGTGATTTTTCTATTTTTATTTGGGATTTAAAAAAAGTCCATAATGACTGGCTTCAGTGAGAATTTAAAATTAATAATATAAAATGAGAAATTCAGAAATCGCGTAAGTATAAAGATAGTTCTCTCTAGAAATGATGTTTTTTCTTTAAAGAACACAATGTTTTACTCACACTTATTTGAATATCTCCTTTTTAAAGAGTCCTATTTGCGTGATTTTGTCGTCGATCTTTATTTTGCAATTACTACGTGGATTTTATGATTTTTAATTTATGTACAAATTTTAATTTATAATCGTTTAATTTATTTATGAATTTTAATTTTTACAATGATTTACAAAATAAGAAAGGGGAAATAATTAGTGCATTTTTCCACCTACAAAATGCGAGAAAGTGCGTATAATATTAGAATTGAAAAAATATTACTTGTACAATTAAAAAATTTTTATACGTTTTTATTCTTTACTTTCTTCTGTAAACACAACGTTTCTGTTACTATAAATTAGTAATTGTTATAATTAAAAGTATCTTAAAGAAAAAAATTAATGCTACTGAAGTTTGTCGCAGAATGCCCGAAAAAATTCTGTCACAGGGATTATCATACTAATTGGATTCATATTTTAATCATACAAATTTTCCTAGACATTGTAGACAATGCTTGAGCAATGTATGGAATGTTTAATCAATTCTGACTTTATTGATTTTGGCATTATATACAATATAAGATTTTAAACTTTTCTGGTAATATACATTTATAAAAAAAAAAAATTTGCACTGTTGTATACTATCTTTCATTATCTAAATTTTTAGTAGATAGTGCACTTAACATTTTAAAATTGTTTATTTATGCATTTCTTAAGTTTTATTGTTGTTTAAAATCATATCAGGTCTGCAACTGGTCAATTTTACATTTTTTTTTAACTGTAATGTTTAAATGTACGGGCAATTTTACATAATTTATTTTTTTTTTTTACTGTAACGTTAACAATATCATGGCGCAAATATGGTTTATGGACTTATTTTGTGAATGACAAGCATTTAATAAAGTTGTTAACAGATCCGACAACATATAAAATTACTTACCTTTTGCAAATTTAAAAATCCTTTAAATTAATCTTTCATTTTAAGAACATTTTTTAAAATGATTTTTTCCTCTTGCTAAATCTTTAAAGCAATATTAAAAATTGGTAGTACCATTTACTGTTCCATTTTAAGTATGATTATCTCTTGTAAAAGACCTATCACTTCTCCAAGACAACACCAAACAATTTATATGTGCCATGAAATTTACGATATTAAATTCAAATATGTCGTTTAGTTTTTTATAAAATGGATTTTTTAAAATAAGTGTTTTAAGTTATTTTGTGCATTGGAAATTGGTAAAATATATGAAAGAAATTTGATTTTGGTGTTTTGGATCTCATATCTTTTAGGCTTGCTTATTGTTAAAAAATTTATACGAAAAAAAGCGTTAGAAAAAAATCCCTATAATATTATGCATAGTAACTCTTAATCATATATATTTTTGGAGGAGAAAAAAAACAACATCTAAGCAAACAGGTTATTAAATTCTGAAATAAAAAATATCCTTTTGTCGAACTTTAAGAATACCTCAAGTGTGAAATCCACCCGTATGAAAAATTTAGAAGTTTATTAAAATAGCATGACTGTTTTATAACTTTTGACCAACAAATATTCATCTATAACATAATTTTTTCCAATTTCTAAATGACATCAAATTTTAAGAATAACTTTAAAAAAATTAAGTTTTATGACCTAAATGTCTCAAATGGTATTTTGATTTTGTATTTTTATATTTTGATAATTTTTAACTTTGCTCAAATCACATTAAAGTTTCAATTGTTTTTCTAGATTTCAAGCTTATCTGAAGCCATTGCTGAATGCTCTAAATTAAAGGTGTTACGGTTGGAAGAAAATTGTCTGCAACTTTCAGCCATTCCAGAAAAAATATTAACTGATTCCCAGATATCTCTCCTAGCTATTGAAGGAAATCTATTTGAAAGTAAAGATCTTCATAGTAGAGAAGGGTGGGAAAAGGTAAACGTAATTTCTAATTTCATTAATATTAATTGATGTATAAAGATAGTTTTTTAAAAGTAAGGATTTTTATAAAAATTATGTTCATGATTCCACTTGGGTAAATAACTAAAGCAATGAACCATCGAAACTTACAATTTTTTTTTCTTCAAAATTTTATACAAAACATCCAATCAATATACATAGATATTGCAATTTTCATCAACTAAGATTTTAATTTGAGGTAATAATGTTCTCTATCGTTAAAACAAAAGCAAAGTTTTTTAAAAGATCGTCCTCGCATGCTTAAAAAAATGCAGTTTAAAAAAATTTTTTCCTTTGAATCAAAAAGTAGATTTGTCGAAAAAAGTATAAAGATGGGGAAAAGTAAGGATTATTTTATCACTTCACATAATATGAAAGTTTGTTTAAAACCAAATATACTGTTATGCTTGTAAAATAAAAGTAAATTAATAAATATTTTATTGAGGAATCAATGTAAATGCAAATTAAATATTTTAGTTATAGAAATCTTATGGTTTTCTAAAATGATTTAAAATAAAACCGACACATTATAACTCAATATAAGTTGGGGACATATTTTTAACTTTTTGCCATTTTTATTTAGTGAATTACAAGAAATTTTATGAACATTAAATCTAAAATGATTTTATTATGCTACAAAAAATTTGAAATAAAGTATTTAAAAAAAAGGCATTAAACAGTTTTTTCACCTGCGTTCAAATTCCACTTGTTGTAATAATATTGTATTAAAAATATTGAGGTTTTTAAAGCAATGTGTGGAAATAAGTAGCAACAAGGTGCCAAGATAAATAAATTAATAACCGTACATTAGGTTAACAATGAAATCTGACAAATAAAGCGAGCTTTAAAAATGATGACTAAAATGTGTGTGTTGAAATTTATAAGTCATAATATAATCTATTAAAAATATCAGGATTTTTACAATAATATAGAACAGTTTATTTTTTCCCAGATTTTTTTATGAAAAAAACCCACTTTGCCCTGGGGGATAAGTGGGTTGGTTTTTTCATGAAAAGACCCAATTTTGTCTGTTAGTCAGTTTTTTCAAGTATATTCTATATGCAAACTTATGTACACTAAAAATTAACATAGTACAGTCAGACCTCGATGTAAGGTCACCCTAAGGGACATCGCAAAAAAGACCTTATAAGCGGGGTGACCTTTTAACCGATTCATTAGCAGTTCGTAACTAAGCACGTATATAGTACACATTAAGACTTTTTAAAAATGTTAATACAAACGAAAACGATCAGCCATAAATTAAATGTTTAGGTCAATAAATTTTAACAGAATTAGTAAAGAATTAAAGAATGTTAGATTAAAAAAAGAATTAATTTACAATAAAGCTGTTTACAAATTTCCTCAAAGTCCACATACATACATTACATCTTACCTTATTTAAAATAATCATTTATGCAGGTCTGTCTTGTTTTTGGTTTCATTTTTTGAACAATGCTTTCTAGATTTTGTAACTTCTCAAAATGTTACTCATGATTTGAGAAAAAAATTTCTTATCACATTTATTGCACTGGAGGTTTCCACATGGGTTACAGCTACAGTCTCAGGATCACTGTCATTGTCCTCACTGTCCACAACTTGTGAAATAATTTACGAAATTGTAGCTTGTTCGTTGGCTGCAACATTTTCTTTGAACTCGAAAGGGGTAATTGCCTTGTAAGGAAGTTAAATAGGCTTTCATTAGAAAAAAGCTTCCCTGGCTTCAGATAAAAATGACCTTATAAGCGATTACGATTTTTAAAACTTGACCCTATATCCGATATTTTGTAACAAAGAATTCCTATTCAGTGAGCCGGGACTTTGGAAAAGTGACCTTATATGCGGAGTGACCTTATATGCGGATGACCTTATATCGAGGTCTGACTGTACTAGCAGATTTTTTATCATTTTATAAGATATATTATGTGATAAAGAAAATCTTGCTTTATTATTACCAGAAGGATTTATAAAATAAACGGTTATGAGAATAACTGTTTCAGTCATTTTTATGTCCTCTAAATGTATGATAAATTGCATAATAATAAAGTTACTGAAATGATTCTTTGTAAAATATAATGCATAATAACTTATGTGATTAGTTTAAAATTATAAATAAACACACATTTGTTTTAAAGTTAAGGAATGGAATTTCTACAAGCATTGTAAACATTCATGAAATGAAACACACTTATCTTTTTCTTGCACATGGATGTTAATTTATATTTTTCTTTGTATGAATTCTTTATATGCCTTAGAAGGTACAAAAAATCATCACTTTTTACCTTGATCTTTAAAATGGAGGAAAAAGTTTTAAACATTTGTTTTTTAAGCATTCCAAATATATAATTTAAGATTTTAATGAACATGCTCATTAAATTTAATTGATAATTATGTGCTTGTAAATGAACATATCATGAATAACCTATATGTACAATATGCATTCATATTTCATTTATTAATAATTATGTGTTCATTGTATAATTTAATCTTTCTTTTGTACTTAGCAAAGTTTTTACCAAATGAAATATTGGCAAACAAAAATGAGTTTCATAAATATTAAATAAATAAAAATCTTGGTATTCGTTAAAATGTAAAATACAAGGCATATTTTTTATGTAAGTACCGTTCTGATATTTTGCCGTTGTAGCGCTGTGGTCAGAGTGGTAGTAAATATTATGTTGTACTATTTAATTTTAGATTTAATAAATAAATTTGATGCTCAATAGTTTTGACTACCATTAAACTTAAGCAATTCAAACACATATACAAGACTTGATTATCAGGCAGCTATCAAAATTTGGAAATTTAAGTAAATCTTAATTGTTGTTCTGCTTTAAATATTTGAGTACTTTTTTCAAAATTAGTATAGTGTGTCAGCAGTTTTATGATCAGAATTTTAATACTGTTGCGACAATACTATTGATAATTATGTTGAACTCTTTCTAATTCTTTAAAAATGACTATTTCCATTCTTTGTAAATGATAAATAATTTAATTATACAAATCAAAATTTCAAAAAAGAAACATTAGTGAGTTAAATATCAAATTCATAGCTGCCAACTCTACTGGATTTTGCTAGTTTCTCCTGGTCTACTGGTTTAATTAAATTTCTCCTAATATTTGTACATTTTAGAAAATTCTCAAAAATTGAGTAAGTTTTTAAAAAAATCCTTATTGAAATAGAATTTTTGTACAGATGGTTTACTTGTTTGAATATTTAAATTAGTATTACTAATCATAATGAAGCTAACCTCATTTATAGAAATTAGTTCTTTTAAAATATTCAGTTTATTTTTATTCAGAACTCTCTTTTTAAATTAATTAAAAAATTTTTTTATGTATTAACTGGGTGGCCACCCACCTGGAAAACTTGGAATTTCAGGGGATTTTTTTTATACTGGAAAAATCAGGGAAATTGGTGTAATATCCTTTTAAGAAAGGCAGACCTCTCAATGCACAATCTATGGTATATTTAAAGATGATAGTTCGGCTATATTATATTATTTCACTTATTTTAGCATTATTTGTTTTATGTTGAGCTATTTCTTATTTCTTCGAGTTTTTCCAGTAACTGAAACTGGTATCTTTATCCTAATATAGTTTACAAGAGGGCCATGAATGTTTGATTCCTCTTAATATATTTTAGATAATATGTGCAGGGAAAACACAGGGAATTTTTTTTTTTTTTTTACAGATATCAGTGACAACTCGGACACTTACTAATAGTGCCTTAAAATTTGCATTCTTCCATGATATGAATGTTTATAACATGTCATTTGTGATCGTAATAAAAGGAATAGAAGAAGAATTCAATAAAATGTGCCATAAGTTTCTCTAGTAAATAATTTTGTCTGAACTATGTATCATTCAAGTGTGACTGAAGTTTGTCTTGTGGCAATTGTTTTGAATAAAATAAATTAATTGAATAAAATTTCTTTTGATTGTTAAAGAACTTAACTCTTGGAACTTCAAATAATAATAAATATCACTATTTAAGTACAGCATTATTGACCAGATTTTAATATTACCTCAAGTTTAAGGAAAGTAAACATTAGCTAATATCACATAATTGAAATGCATATCTGTGATTTCATTAAATCAGTAAATTTTTTTAATTAAATTTTTTCATTTTAATTCCTTGAATTAGGGCCAATTTATAGGAAATCTGGTAGAATTACCTTTTTTCTCGTTTTACATGCATTAACATGATTTTAAATATTTAAATTTATTGAAAAAATAACCTAATTTCTTTCTTCTTTTTTATTTTTCAGTATATGGAGCGTTTTACTGCAACCAAGAAAAAATTGTATTAAGGTGTGTAATATTCTTTGCAAAATAGTATTTTGCTTTGTATATTTGGGGCAGGCTTATTTTGAAGTTGTAAAGAAGAGTATGCTCATCAATTCATTCATATTTCATTAATTGTAAAAATAAAAAAAATCGTTCATTCTGCTGGGTGTTAAAATGTTATGGCATTTTTAAATTATAAAGTTTATGATTGTATAGTTTTAATTTATTGAATTATATATTATATTCATCAATAATAAATTTCTCTTTTAAAATTCTACCTTTTTTGTTGTCATTTATTGTTGTAACCTATTTATTTATATATAAGCTGATATTGGATCATTGCACAAAAGCAACTCTTTTCACTTTGATACTTACTAATCAAAGAGATAAAAAATATCAAAAAATTTAGGTATTTAGGAACCATGTGAGTCTAGTACTGAAATACCTGTTATGAAAAAAAATGTTTTGTTTTATATTAGTTATCTAGTTCTAACTCATACAATTATGTTTAACACATGGTTAGTTGTAGAACTATTTTGTCATTGCTTTCTAAACCAATAACTTGATAACCTATTCATAAAATATGTAACTCAAAATCAGAAAATACTCAATAACCTAGTTTTAGTACTCTACCTGCAAAATTTAGTATACATTGTTTAAAAAAATGGATTAAGATTCCTTGATTTAAAGTATTTTTTTTACTAAATTAAATAACTTGTTTCTGTGGGATTGAAACAATTTCCCTTATTCAGAGTTGAGTATTACTAACAAAAATCATAATTCTTTAATATTACAGACAAAATTAAATATTTTCCACAAAGTTCATTCATATTTCTCACATTACATAATTATTTTATCTGCTGTGCACTAAATAATTTAAGACCATAATAATTTTTGATCGAATAACATTATTTACATAAACTAAAATGCGATTTTAGCAGTTTGAGTTTCACACCATAAATATGCTAATGATTGAAGCAAATGATATTTTAAGTTGCAAAATCACACACTGAATAAACATATTTATTTTTATCAGGGTTTGCCAAATTGGGCAGAGCCCAGAAAAACTCGGTGGATTTTTTTCCCTCTTGGCCCATCTGAAAAAACTCATCCTTAAACCCACCAAATGGAGTTTTTTTTTCTCTCCTTTTTCCAGTCCATTTTTTTAAGTATCAAATCAATTTGTTATTTAATATTATTACATAATTGTTTTAGTAGAGTAAACTGGTAACTAGATATACTGAAATATATGAAGTCAGTGTCTGATTTCTAAGAAAAAATTTTAATAAAAAGTAACTAAGGATGAAAAAAAATGAAGTACTTGATAAAAAAAAAATGCTTCACTAAATTTTAATACATCACTAATTAATGTGTAATATGCATATCGAATTCTCAATTTATTTGAATTGTATTCTCTTCAGAGTCTGATAAAATATTTTAATTGATTTATATCATCATAATACATATCGTGATATACAACCAATTTTTATTTTATTATGTTTCATGATATTTAGATAGAATATGCGGAAATAAATTTTTCACATTGAAACAAGTTTGTAATGGGTTAGAGAGTCTCTTTGCCTTGGAGGGTTATAAAATATTCAAGCATAATGTCCCCAAGTTTTTTATAATGGACTGTCTAGAGCCGTAGTGGGTTAGGAAACAGGATTTGAATCCCAGCAATGACTAGTCGCTACAAATTCCTCATTCGGCTTGCACAGACCACAGTTCTGATGTAAAATATCTTCATTGGTAGATGTATAATGGGTTAGGGAGTCCCTTTGCCTTGGGGGTTTTCCTCTCCATGTAATTCAAATGCATGTTAGTTCCATCAAAAAGTCCTCCACGAAGGCAAATTTCTCCCAATACTTGACCCAGGAGTTCAAAATTACAAGGATACGGAGTTTGAACATTAGAAGTCATAAACTCAAAAGTTTTAGAAGTCATTTTTCAGATTTTTTCTTTCAATTGCCTCATGTTCAGACAAAATTTCATTATTAGTGATTTTCATTTATGTTATGAGTCATGTTTGCTTAGAATATTTATTTCTGCAACCTTGTACGAGCTTTCTCCCGGCACCTCTTTGTGAGACAAATCTTCATTGCTAAGAAGCTATATTTGTTAGTTATTTCCATATGGTATCCTTACACTGAAAGAATGTTATCTAAATTGTTCTTTCTAGATTCATAAAATGTCATCAAAAAATTTTTTTTGTCGCTCTTGTGGGCTACATTTTCAATAAAATAGTTGAAGCCAAACTACCTTCCAACAGGCAACCTTTAGGTGTGTTTTCTGCAATATGAGAATTGTAAATATGACAACAACAAAATGTAAGCATTGGATAAACAAGTTTTTATTTTTTGGCAAAAAGCATGAATTCCTTCTATAAGAACTGAGCATTGCATTGATAAGTTAGTCAAACCCTACGATCAACGGATATATTTACAAAAAAGTCTAGTACTCCTAGCAAAGAAGAAAAAAAAAGGTATATTTTTGAGGGAACTGAGGAGTTATAATTATCGACTATGTCAACCTTTATCTTTCAAAAGGTACCTCAATTTAGAATCAAGTCTTGTCTTGTTGGTTGGTCGGGGTCCCTGAGGCCAAGATGGCCCTTTACCCCTTCATCATGAAGTAAGGATCGTTGAGGTGAAGCCTTGTGGTGATAAGCATAATGCTAAAGTTGAAGCGGGGAGAAAATGGCACATTGCCATGGTGCGGAAAAGCTGTGGTGACTTGAAAAAGAGTTGAGAGTAATCAACAAAAATGAAGTCTACTGTGCTTTGCTTGAGGAAAACATCTCGCTGTTTTTAAGATTACTTATCTCGAATTCATAATTAACATCTCCAGTCTCCGCTAGTAACTAAACTGGCGAGGACCCGAGGGACAATAGATGTTAGTAAAGCCAGACTCCTACTTGCGAAACATGCTTCGATCAGTCGGTTTCAAACGCAAATGACCGCCATTATCATGTCGGACAGGCCTAAATGCTACTAACGAAAGGTCAATGCAATCATCACGTTCACATACGTCGAGGCTAAACAAGTTACTACTGCCGCTTACACGGTGTGTTCACGTTGGCTGGATTTGAAAACTATTTCATCTTGATGTTCTGTCTTTCAAACATTGATCAGTGATCGACGTTGCAGAAGAACTGCAGTCATCAGGCTTGCATCAAACGCTCACGAAGAGATCATCGCTAAGGCAGGTAGGTGGTGACGACTGGGGTGAGAATCAAGTTAACATGTCTTATATACTAGAGCAGTGATTCTCAACCTTTTTTTGTGGCGGCACACTTTTAACGATTTCGAAATTTGACGGCACACAATGCGAAAAATTAGTTTAAAACTTGTTTACTTANCAAATTTCTCCCAATACTTGTACGAGCTTTCTCCTAGCACCTCTTTGCGAGACAAATCTTCATTGCTAAGAAGCTATATTTGTTAGTTATTTCCATATGGTATACTTACACTGAAAGAATGTTTTCTAAATTGTTCTTTCTAGATTAATAAAATGTCATCAACTTCTTCAAATAGATCGTCACACAAGTTAAGAAGAAAAAAAAATTTTGTCGCTCTTGTGGGCTACATTTTCAATAAAATAGTAGGAGCCAAACTACCTTCCAACAGGCAACCTTTAAGCATGTTTTCTGCAATATGAGAGTTGTTAATATGACAACAACAAAATTTAAGCATTGGATAAACAAGTTTTTATTTTTTGGCAAAAAACATAAATTCCTTCTATAAGAACTGACCATTGCATTGATAAGTTAGTCATACCCTACGATCAACGGATATATTTACAAAAAAGTCTAGTACTCCTAGCAAAGAAGAAAAAAAAAGGTATATTTTTGTGGGAACTGAGGAGTTATAATTATCGACTATGTCAACCTTTATCTATCAAAAGGTACCTCAATTTAGAATCAAGTTAACATGTCTTATATACTAGAGAATTGGTATTTAATATATATAATGGTAGTTATGCCACATTACTCACCTTCCCGAACTTTATCTGTGCTAGAATTCAATGAACAGATTCCACTAGTTAACTCGTGTTTTTTTTTTTTATAATTTTGTTTTTGTTTTGTTTATAGCATTTCGCTCATTATTTTTTCTTCTTCTATATTGTTTATTGACCGGGACACTTTATTTACTTCACCAGATATTTTTTTTCTCTTTGAGCTGTATATTTTTAAGAAAATAAACTGTTTAATGCGGATCATCCATCATTGTTGGCAAGTTCACATCACCATTGAGGGAATTTTATTATCGATCATGTCAACCTTCATCTATCAAAAGGTACCTCATGATGGAATCAAGTTAACATGTTTTATATACTAAAGAATTGGTATTTAATATTTATAGTGGTAGTTATGCCACAGAATTATGGATGATCTCTTTGGCATAGCACACGCAGTTCCAAAAAGGACAACCAGGTTTTTCATAGATCAAAGACTAAAAAAAGGAAGAAAGAGCTTTAAAGCATGTAGCAATTGAGGCAGAGAGGGAAAAAAACTCATGAAGAATTGGAACATTTATATACATCAAAAACTGATGATTAATCTTCAAGCAGTGATGCTGATGAAAACAGTAAAAGTTCAAAAATCAGAAGGCAACAGTAGTTCCAGAAACTCGAAGCAAATTGCAATGTTTACTTCCCGCCTTGAGGAAATTTTTGATATATGCAAAATAATCAATAGAAATGGATTAATGGCTACTGCTAAAGCATTCAGGGTAGATACAGAAAATCTGGTTTTAAATCAAACTACTTTACAATGTCTTAGAAAAGAATTTAAGGAGGAAAAACACACCGAAATTCATAGATGAATTAACTGAAACGACTGCTAGGATGGAAAATTGCTTCCAGCGCTCTGAAGTGTTGAAAAAATAGATAGATAGGCAATAATAGTAACTTTTCAAGGTAATTGTTGGAAGTTCCTGAAATCTCAACATCTTTAAAAGATCAGACCATAGCTGTTTACGAAGTAGTGAAAAATTGGGGTATAAACAGATAAAACTCAGACACTTTGCTGTGATATAACAGCAACAGAGGTCTAATAAATGGTGCCTGTATAAATCTTGAAAAATATTTAAATTGTGATCTGTTGTACTTCGTATTTTTTAAAGCCTGTTTTGATTCGCTCCTGGTCCCAGACATGACGCTGTTCAAATGGTTTAGAGAAGGCTAGTAAAAAATTACTAGAATATTTACGTAGCAGGTAACACAGAATTACCTGATGATCATTAACTCTGATATTCTTGATGATTTTTAATACTAAATTTCTACACAAATGCAACTGCAAGATGATTATCATTAATTGTTGGAGCCAACTAGGATCTTTCTTGATGGCATTCAAAAAAAAAAAGAAAAAGAGTATCATTTTGAATAACAGGTGCTGTCAGTCATGCTAGATCGATGGCAAAGGCGATTTATGCACTAAGAATTACCTATTTCAAAATCAGTTATCCAACAAGGAGAAGAATTTGTAAGAAGGATTGAGTATTTTTATTGATCGTGTGCATGTTAAGAGTCTGGTTTTTATCATCAGAAGCTATTAAATCACTTTATTCATGCATCAACTAATAAATTATCAGAATATTGATTAAGAAATCTGTAAGGCTGCTGGAAAAAAAAATTCATACCATCTCTGGTATCCGAAACTGTAGCTTTAGACTTATTTGATTATGCTCCAACCACCGTAAACCGTTCCAAAGACTGTGGCTCAAGTTATACTAGATGCAGATGAAATAAATCAATAAAAGCGACGCATTCTACACTAAAATGATTTTTATTAATTTTGTAACAGCCGCTACAAAAAAATTTTTCATGAGATTTTCTATCAGTACTGATTCTTTGGAAAATTGATCTTTTGGAAAGGAAAAACTTGAGAAGATGTGGGTTGCGAATTATGCTTTTAATTTTTCTGCAATTACTCCTTACATGGCAAAATGTAAATTTTTTGCTTTATGTATTTTCAATAATAGGAAACAACCTATCAATAAGATATGCTTTGTTTGGCACTACTTGTGTCAGAGACTATCTTTAGATGAATGGAAGTTAAAATTCCGTTTCTGGGTCAATTAAAACTAAATTAAAATATGTAATTTGCAAAGTAAAAATATCATTTTTTTAATATAAATTCAATAAATCTTTTTTTAACTTAATGCATAGAAGGTTTTGAAAATTATTAAACCTTTTAGATTATTTCAGCCCTGCATTTTTAATTATCGTTTTATTTATTCAATTTAAATCACTTTTTTTCTTCTAATCATAATAAAAATTGCAATTTTAGTCCCTAAATTTAAATAATTTATTACCCGATATGAAGTTTTAGGTAATTCTAAATATTTGGTTCAGATTTATATCAGCGGGATAATAATCTTCGTAAATTCTCAACAAAACACAAGTATATCATTTCTAAATTATTTGTTGTTATCTTTCTATTATAGAAGATAAACTATACAATGTTCTGCCAAGTATTTAGTTCTTACAAGGAGTAAATAACAGATAAAAACTTTAAGTCGTAAGCTTTTTTCAATAATGATAAATTTAACTAAATAGTCACAATTTTTCTCACATTATACCTAACTTTTATGTTCACGAAGAAAAATATTATCAAATGAAATAAAGAAAAATCGCAGAAGAGATTTAAAAAAGTAACACTGGAAACATCAAATGAAGAATATATATATATTATTTATAAATAAAGTTCTCAAAGAAAAACAATAAAAAGCTACGGAAATGAAAAAAATGAGAATTTGTAAGAAACTAATTGAATAATGTCCGGAATACTTAATTATTTTAGTAGGTACTTAAAATTTTTTTAAAAAAAAGGTACATCAAAATGTTGAAAATATTTTCACAATAAATTTTTTTTTACCAAATACTGATTTTGATGAATGCAGTTTATCATGATAACCTCTCATAAATATCAATAGTAAAACCTTATATAAAGTTCTCAAAAAAAACAAAAAAAAGCTACAAAACTGAAAAAAATTAAAACTTTGTAAGAAACTAATTGAATAATGTCCAGAATACTTAATTATTTCAGTTGGCACTTAAATTTTTAAAAAAAAGGTACATCAGAAGGTTGAAAATATTTTCACAATAAATTATTTTTTACCAAATACTGATTTTGATGAATGCAGTTTATCCTGACAGCCTTTCATGAATATCAATAGTAAAATACCGAAGCAAAAGATTTTTATAGCATAAAGAATTTAATTTTCATCCATAAAAAAAGGGGAGAAGAACAAAATATAAATTTACAAAAAATGCTGTTAAAATTTTTTAGCACCACTATGTGTGAGCATCATAAATAAAACCTATATTAAACTATACTAAGTATGTTCGATTAGAATTTTTTTTTTCGTCAATTAACTTATTTAATCTGTGTGAACCTATTTTTTAAAATAATTTTTAGCTAATTCAGAAAGGTACATTATACATTTATTTTTCAGAGCATGAACTTTTTTAGTAAGCAAAAGTCTTAGTCAAGTTTATTTTTCATACTATAAATGTAATAAAATGGTCTCTTGTGAGAATATTTTCTAATTCAAGAAATCACCTAGTTCATTACACAGGGGTGATTGTGGGCCCAACTCAAAAATCCTGAAAATTTCTTGAGTAAAATCATTCAAAAAAAATAATATCTTTATAAATTTAAATCATTGAAATTCTCAAGACATGATATTCTAAATGAATTATATGCAGCATAATTTAAACGGATAATTATGTGTAAGTTTACTTTTATCTGTAATCACATTTATTATTCTACCAGAAAAAATATTTACAAATGACAGAGATGCCAAATATAAATTCTAGTTTTAATATTTTTAAATAAAACATACTAGAATTTTTATATATAAATGTGATCAATGATTTTTTGAAACTTCTGGACTTTGGATTTCCAGGAACTTTCGGAACGCAGTTAGCGACACATTCAGAAATCCAGATTTTTTCCGGAGCACAATCACCCCTGCATATTATTCCAACACTCTCTTTTGTTAATGCATATATAAAAATATAGTAGCTTTTGATATTTGTCACAAATCAGTGGCAAATGAAAATGCTCTTGCAACATTTTTGTTAGCTTTTTTTATATTAATAAAGTTTTAACAACAAATTTTGATTTCTAACTTCCTTCTAGAATACTATTTATAAATTTACACAATTTTACTAAAAAAAATTGTAAAAAATAATTAATCAAACATAATTCACATGAAAATGTTGAACGTTTACAATANAAAAAAATCATGATTTAAATCGTGATTTAAATCAAGCTGATTTAAATCAACAAACCCTGTTCCAACACTCTCTTTTGTTAATGCATAGGAAAAATATAGTAGCTTTTGATATTTGTCGCAAATCAGTGGCAAATGAAAATGCTCTTGCAACATTTTTGTTAAGCTTTTTTTATATTTATAAAGTTTTAACAACAAATTTTGATTTCTAACTTCCTTCTAGAATATTATTTATAAATTTACACAATTTTACTAAAAAAAATTGTAAAAAATAATTAATCAAACATAATTCACATGAAAATGTTGAACGTTTACAATAGTCAGAATAAAGTTCATGTAAATTACTCCACTGATTTGTTAGGCATCATGAAATTGAAATTAATAAAAATAATTTAAAACAGAAATCTACTTTTTATGGGAAGCTTATTTTATAAGTAATATGGTGTGAAATGATTTTCAAACTATGATTTTTACACTTAAAAATAATTTTTAAGTCTTTTTGAATATGCCTTCTAATTTCTTGCTAATATTTCTTCTAACTATTGAAATTTTAAGTATTTTACTTACTTTATGTTCTTCAAAGCACAAAAATTTACTCAATGACATCATAAGCTAGTATCCATTTCTCATATCCTAATATCCAAAATGATCCTTATAAGCATTGCCTCTTGAGACCATATTGCAGGGAGATGCAAAACTGAATTTATCAGTAGGTACTGTAAACCCTAGTTACACTTCTAGTGGGAAGTAAGGTAGTGTGTATATGTCCTCCTCAATAATTAGAAATCTCCCATAATTTAGACAAATAAAATTTTCATGAATTATGACCACTTTAAATTCACCAAAGTTAAAAACAAGAACTTAAAGAACTATTAAGACAGTGTATTTTAATTTCTTCCCGCTAAAAAATTGGACAACTGTGATGCACATGATACTAACGAATTAAAATAAAGCTCCACACATCTATTAATTTATGAAACAGGATTTTAGTTTAAACAAATCTATTATTAGAATTGAATGAAGTCTATTTACTAAAACTTTTTGAAAAGAGAAATGTCAACATATACTTAATAAAATTCAATTCTCTTATTAAAGTAATCATCATTTAATGATATTAACTATTAACCTTTATTTGGAACTTATATTACAAAAGTATAGCAATATTGTATAAAAAGAATAAAGATTATTTTATGCCAAAAAAAAAACTAAAAAAAAAGATCAATTTATAATTTTTTGTTTTGTTTTTAGTGATTAAGCATTGCATTTAAGTTAAAACATGATCATAAGTGATGAACAAAGTCAATTTAATGAACTTATTTCATCATAACTAAAATATAATTTTTTTAAACTCAGATATTGACTTATTTGGAGCATTGAACAATTGCAGGGCTAATTAAATACATAATTTTAAATCGGAAGAGAAATACTGAAGCTATTAAGATTTATGTCCAATTGATTCTCAGATGCAAAAAACTAAATTCTCCAAGAAAAAGAAAATAACATTTTAAGCTCCTGACAGTCTTCGAAGAATTAAGATCTAAAAATTTTTAGGGACCTAAAATAAAATTTATGAACTTTTTAATATTGTTTCTTAAGAAAAATACCTTTCATTAATGTGTAAAATATTTTTAAATGAAAGAGTAACAAACACATTTTGATAAGGCCGAGTATATTATATTAAAATTATCAAAGATAAATATTTTATAAAATCTCACGCATAAGTGCATTACATTTGTGGAATATCACATTATAAAAATTGGCTTTCTTTACATTGCCTTGTCTGAATACATTCGAAGTTAAAATGTACATTAATAAGTTAAAATCATTGCATTCGATAAAAATAAATTAAACTTGAGATAAAATGTTTCTTAAAAATGGATGTGCAAGTGCTCGTTTGGCAGGCAATCTGCTCTCGGGTTCATAAGTAAGCATTTTTAGTAGAAGATCTTGACCTTCCAGGCTTAGCATTGGTAAAATTGTTCCGACATCTTGGGGTGCCCACCGTGGGAATGTGGTTTTATAATCTGGTAATTCAGAGCAACCTGGCCAACTATCTTCGTCTGGCGTTCCCAAGGTTCGAAAAACTCTAAACAATTGATCTATTTCAGAGTCTCCGGGAAAGAGTGGACGCTTTGTCAACATTTCAGCAAATATGCAGCCAATGCTCCATATGTCAACACCCATACTGTAATGTTTGGCACCCAACAGTACTTCTGGTGCTCTGTACCATAAGGTAACTATCTCGTGAGTGTAAGCTTTCACAGGGACAGTGAAGCCTCTGGCTAAACCAAAATCTGCAAGTTTTATCGTCCCGCATTTGTCAACTAACAAATTTTGCGGTTTGAGATCGCGATGAAGAACTCTCCGTGCATGACAATATGCTAAACCTTGAAGAAGTTGACATAAATAACTTTTTGCAACATCTAAGGATAAACCAACGTTACCCTGTTGATCTAATAGTTTTTTTAGATCTAAATCTAAAAACTCAAAAACCAAATAAAGTTTTTGATTGCAATAAACAACATCTTCGAGTCGAACAACATTTGGATGGTCTAATTCTTTTAATAAACTGATTTCTCGCAGAGCAGTACTGGGGACACCTTCGGTTTCCGATTTTAAGCGTATTTTTTTTAGAGCTACAACTTTCTTAGAGTTTATATCTGTTGCTTTGTAAACAACACCGTATGTGCCTTCTCCTATTTTTTGAAGACTACCAAAATCTTTTAATTCCGCCATAATGTAAATAGCGGTACATCACACGAAAAGATTAAGCGGCAAACATACGATGTCAATCACTTTTTTTTGGCTCATATTTCCCACTCTAGTAGAGTTGAGATGAGATGTAAAGGCGGATTATATGGTAAATGATTAAATAAAAAAAAAAAACCGTAACCGCTAAAGTTCTATCCCATTAACCCTACAAATCAGCGGTGACTCAGGAGTGCAAAGGAATTCCCATGCCAAGATCAGTTGATTTTATCTGAAAAGAATTAAATTATAATGAATTATTGTTTCTTAAATTTCAGTTTCTTTTATTCCAAAATGATGATATGATGAAGCCTTTACGTATTCATTTGATTATTTTTTGATTATTTTATTATTTTTTCTGCAGGTATTTTTTTGATTATTTTGATTATTTTTTGATTATTTGATTATTTTTTCTGCAGGTCACGTGTACTGTATTTTTTCCCTCCGCCAATGAAAAAATTCATACTCGTTTTCTAAACTGAGAGTTTTCATTTTTAAGACTCTCCTTATTAAATGTTTCAATCTCTTATGATTATATACTTTGAATTTTTTAAACATGTTAAAAGTACTTTTTACATTCGTCTTAGAAAATGATTTGTAATTTCCAATCTTTATTTTTGCTGTTGTTGCTAATTTACGTCACACTAGAGCTGCACAGTGGACTATTTGCGACTGTCTGGGAAACATCCCGAAGGATAATCCGAAGACATGCCATCACAATTTTGATCCTCTGCAGAAGGGATGGCACCCCCGCTTCGGTAGTCCGACGAGCTGCGCGCGAAGTCGAGCACTTTACGGTAGCACAGTTTAACGAGGACCAATACCGCACACCCTCGGCCCCTACGCAGACTGATCCAAGTGGTCACCCACCCGCACACTGACCGTAGCCAGTGATGCTTTTGAATTTCAATCCCGAAATTACTTTATGCCTGCAAATATTTGCATCTCTTTATTTGAATTAGTATATCGATATACTTGATCATTGTTGAATCAGCGTATTATTTACATAAAATTATCAAGGAGTGTTTGTAGCATGTAACCAAGTTCTTATCTCCCTGATTTCTCCCTGAGTTAGAGTATATGCTTTGTGCGTGATTGGTCAGAAATATTTCCATCGATCTTAACCTTTGAAGAGCTGTTACGAGACGAAAGATGTTCGAAATGTTTCAACTGAATCAGGAAAGGGACATTTTTTCAGAAATCCAAAGGAGAGGACTAGTTCGATCAAATTTTCTTTCAGTTGCATAAGTCTGTAAGACAAAATCCTAAACTTGCAACACTCGAGAAGAACGGTGAAGAGAATCCCAGACATCGAACCTAGACTAGAATGATAAATAGTTATAATTTTTTTGAGAGAAAAAAAAAGGTATAGCTTAAGAACCATGCAACTTTTTTGAATGCACTGACTGTTTTAAAACTTACACAGTTTACTCTGTGATCTGAACAGGATGTTCTGTAATATAGCACCTATACAGGATGTTCTGTAATCTCGGTAGAAAAATTATTTGTTTTACGAATTTTCAACAAAAATAAAGTGAGAAGAAATTTACAATGAGCAAGGGGAAAACAGGATGCTAACTAAAATCTGATGAATCATTATTGAGGAAAGTGAAACAAATACCATCAAATCCTGTTTGATTTTCAGAGGAAACATCTTCATGGTCCATGACTGTTAGAAAGCAAAAATCATGAAATTTTTTTAAACAGTAATTTCTTTAAAAAAAACATTAATAATTGACAGTGTAATAATTTGATGTTTTACTATAATTAGAAGCTTGCATTTAGCTGAAAAGCCTGTACTATAAACGTTAATAATAATATTATACAGTATCCAAGGAATTAATATTTTAAACAAAGAAACAAAAACAGCAGAAAAAATTTTAAAAAAAGCTAGATTTCAATTATTATTATTATTATTATTTTTTTTTTTTTTTTTTGAAGAGAGAGAGAGGAGGAGGAGAAGAAAATAAAAAAATTATGACGCTATTTCATTCTCGGTAAAGGAAAATTAAAATTTTACTCAAAACTAAGATGGAAAATACAATCATTGAAACTTTAAGAATTAATAAATGATAAATACATTTTGTGAACAAATTACGGGGAAGCGATATTGGGGAAAAGTTACCGAAAGACGAAATAGATGGCGTTAACAAGAAAGCCAAACAGCGTTCTCAAAATCACTCTTCAGTTTCCAGTAGTTGTAATGGAAGGTATGTTTTCATTCGACATGGAAGTCTGTGATCGCTGTCCCTTTTTCTTTTTCTTTTTTTTTCTTTTTTTTTTTCTTTTTTTTTGGCGTAAGAGCTTTGCAATTGTCTGTTAAAGGTCGTTTTCTGTTGCCTTTTTAAAACTTTTTCTGTCTTAGATGAGAAATTCTCTGGTCGGGGAACAAATTCAGAAAAAAAAAAATGTCTCCTGTTTCATAGCATTCCTCGTCGGCAAAAAGAGTCCACAACTTGGGAAGGGAATCAGGTACTTGCACTTCAAAAAGAAGAAGAAGACCTCCCATTGCCACCCATGTGACATCTGACGATTGCGCCAGCTAATCTTTATTAGCAAAATGGCTTATTAAAGTTGAGCTAAGCTTTTCTACACAAGTTAGAATGTTAAATAACAATAAGTTAATTGGATACAGAGCCGTATCCCACATCGAATCAGTCTCGTCTACTTCCTTGACTTAATTGAGATTTATTATTTTTTTGTGTATTTTATTGTAGTTCCGGAGTGGACTGATTGTTAAGACACGGTTACCAGTAGAACACCGAAGTCAAGCATCACATCACTGGCTGCGGTCAATGTGCGAATGGGTGACCACTTGTATCAATCTACGAAGGGACCGAGGGTGTGCTGCATTGGTCCTCGTTAAACTGTTCTACCGTAAAGTGCTCGACTTCACGCGCAGGTCGTCGGGCTACTGAAGAGGGGGTGCCACCCCCTCTGCAGAAGATCAAAATTGTGATGGCATGTCTTCGGATCATCCTCAGGGATGCTTCCCAGACCGTCGCCATAGGCCATTATGTAGCTCTAGTGTGACGTAAATAAACTACAACTACAATTTTATTGAAACCATGATATATTTTTGTTTTGTGTACCTGCAACTTCGATGCATAATTAGTTTGTTAATGTTCTACATGGCTTCGTGCCTGTCCTTGTGTTAAGTCACTGCTTAAAAGCATTGAAATCCTTGAGAAAAAATCTTTGTGTAAGAATATAGAATGTGTCAACTTAAGAGAATTAATACTTGACGGGCTTGACTTACTCAAAATAGAATTGAAAGAATAAAGGCAAACGTAAACAAATGCCACGTTCAACAACCAATCAGGATCGAGATACCCACCTAACGTCACCTGCAGGTATCTCATTCTCTAAAAATGGTTTCTGAATAATGTCCCAAGAACATGAAACAAATCATTTTATTTTATGAGTTGGCTCCAGCATGGCATATAAAAAATCTCATTAATTTTCAAAATGTGTCTTTTTATTATATACGGTTTCACAAAATTGTTTTTATATTTATTATTCAAATTTTAATTAAAAAAATATTTAATTCTCTCTGTAAATTTAGGACAATTGCGAGAAAAAATTCATCAATCCGCTGTGCTATAGAATCAAAGTAACACATTTGAAATTAATTATTATTATTTATTTAATTTCAATTTTCAGGTTGAACAATATTTAGGTTATACTTCTGTGTATGCTGTTAAGATACATCAAAATTTTAGAAATTTTAACTGAAGAAATGAAACCTATTTGTATAATAAAATGCCAATGTCTAAAATGAGATTTTAGCAATATATGATGCTAAATTAATTTTTTATAGCTGGTTTATTTCGGAAAAAAACTCAAAACATAAACCCGAGAAATTCATATGGACAAATATTTTTCTTTTCCTTGATTAATCCATAAAATTATTATTGATAGCAAAATTTTCCTAATGCAGTTTTTATTCAAATTATTTAAAAAAATCTTAGTTAGCTTATTAAGTATTTAAGAAGAAAAATTAATATTTTTACCCTGACTCTTATCTTGTAATTTTTGAACATTAATATTCATCGAAACTCATCTCATCTGAACATCAAAACTCATCTGAACATTAAATATTTATCAAAATTGATAACAAAAAGAAAAAATGATTTCTGAAACAAAATAACACAGCGAACATGCGTACTTATTTTGAAATTTATGCAATTTTTTAGTGACAACTCCACTATTTGAGAATGGATTTATTTTTTTTTATATTATTCACTACATCTCATGCTATATTTCAACGTGTCAAAATTTCATTGTGAATTGCTGCTGTTTGGCTGATTTTGTAAATAAACATATTTTTCCTCTCGCTTCAACTCGTGAAATTCCTATACAAAAATATATCATTTTGCACTCCTCTATGTTTGTTCAATGATCGTAGGTTGCACATATTTTTTAATCAAGAGGATGAAATGCAGAAATTGCATTTTGTTTTGCGAGTTATTACTTTCTATTCAGTCTGGAGACAATAGTACATATATTCCTATAGTAAGTATGAAAAACTTTCGTACTTCTGAGGGTATTTTTCGGCTAGCCAAGTACTCAAAAGTTTATACATATATTAGGGAGACCGGAAAGTAATGTCCTTTCGGTGATAAAATATTCGTTAGTCTTAAAAACCAATTCATTTTTTTTTATCCATTTTGATTAATTTTCGATCCGGCATTGAAAGGTTGTTGCCAACGAGGGTGAATACACTGTTGATTAAAAATAAAGTTTTGATAGCAAATATCAAAAGCACCGAAACGACATTAATTTCGGGCTATATATATATATATNAATAATATAAATATATATTATCTAATCACTCTTAATTATATGTGAGTAAAACAATTTCGGCTTAAATGTGCTTTCTTTGTGATTAAGGTTCATGTAATTCAGCGACGTGGCACAACGATGGATTTCAGCCTGCATTCCATAATTTTTGATGTGAGTAATGGTAAGACACGTTATGTTTATTGCCTATAATAGGATTATCCTATTATATTGCCTATTATATTGCTATCCTATTATAATGCTTTATTATTATTGAGGAATCCTGTTATATTGCCTACAATAGGATTTTTCATAATAATAGGATTATTTTTTGTGAGGAGGATAAAGATTTGGTTGATGGTCACCCGCACTCGCTTTATTTGCATAATGGGCTAAGATTTTAGGAAGGATAATAAATTGAAGTGATGTTCCTGTTGATTTTTTTTTTAATATTCAGACCAGAGCCTTGGGGACTCATGGCATAGAGCATTCGCTTACAATGAGGTGAACCGGGTTCGAATCCCAGCAATGGATGGTCGATACGAATTCCGGACCTGGCTTGCAGTGGTGGATGGATCATGGGTTAGAGAAACCCTTGCCGTTAGGCTAACGGCGGGAGGTTTTAGTGGTTTTTCCCTTCATGTAAAGAAACGACAATTTTTCTTAATACTTGATCTAAGAGTTCCTTTGTCTTCTGGATTGGGTTTAAAATTACAAGAGTACGGAGTTGAACATTAGTAGTCGTAAACTCAAAATTGGGTCGGCTGCTCAACGACTGATATAAAATAAAATATAGCTGTCAAAATAAATAAAAAAAGGTCCTTTATTTCACTTTTTTTTCGTATAATATTGCTCTTTTCAACAGAAGAAAAATGAATTCCTCTTTAACTCTCTCAGGAAAAGGGGAAAAAAATGTTTTTATAGTGAGTGGCCATATTTTTTTAATTTCGCTGTAAACATACAATTATTGTATCTTCAATATTAAAATTTTGTCGATGATTTGGAAACTTTTCATATTAGAGGACTTTTCGTTAGAGGCCTCGCAACTTGTTACATCGAGCTTTTACTGTAACATTTAATTAGTAAATCAAAATTTTCTCTAATTGTTGAAAATGCCGTTAGCAATAGCAACATTAAATTTGATAAAACTTGAAAGTAGCTTGTTTCCTTCGCAATTAGAACTTAAATTTACGCAAATCTCAATATTTCATTTTAGATACTCCCTCTGAAAAAAAAATGAAAAAATATAGATATATATATCGTGTTTCTTTCTCTTTTTTTCTCAAATAAAAGTTAATTTTCTTAAATCGTTAAAATTGTAGAATTAAATATCAACCTTATTAATTGCAAACTTCTTTTAATTTTCCAGTATAATATTATCGTGAGTACATCCATTTTCGGGCCCATCCTTGGCAATTAACAAACCAAACGCTCTTTAGTACTGCAATTAGAACGCACTATAAAACGAAATCCTCTTTTTACTCTTTTACCTCAATTTGTGCTTCTGTTTTCCTATTTTGTAATAAGGCAATCTTATTACGAAAATATTTTAAATCATTCCAGAAAATTTTTCCGTAGATGTAAGTCGCTACTTGCTTTATAGATTTTGTTTTACGTTTTGTAATGTTTTTCCTTTACATTTTATTTTAGGTTTTTTACGTGATTTTTATGATCTTAATGCTTTCTATTCTAATTTGTTTTAAAAAGTTTTCTTGACTGCTCCTCACATTATTGTATTGATATTTTTTTTGGCTATATTGATACAATATTAGAAAGCGCTCCCTTTTGCCGACATAATCGTATGAGCAGAGAAAAAGATTATACAATAGAGAACCGATTATCCGGAACGATCGGGACTATCGCTATTCCGGATAACTGATTTTTCCGGTTTTCTGAATCGCTACAAAAAGCCGTTTTTTTAGTGTTGAACAAAACTAAAAAAAAAATATTTGGAAATAATCTTAAAAATAAGAAAAAACGGTGAGGTAATACACTAATGATTATTTCTGAAATGATGGTTCGCGCGCAGGTCGTCGGGCTACCGAAGCGGGTGTGCCATCCCCTCCGCAGAGGATCAAAATTGTGATGGCATGTCTTCGGATCATCCTCCGGGATGTTTCCCAGACCGTCGCCAGTAGCCCGTTGTGCAGCTCTAGTGTGACGTAAATTAACAACAACAACAACAACAACTGAAATGATGGTAAGGTAAACATCTTTCAAAAAGGAAAGAAAAATCCTAAAATCTTATGAGGAAAATTTTTTTTTTAAAAATTGCGAGAAAATTTATCGAATTTCGTTCCGGTTTTTTGGTTTTCCGGTTTTCTGATTTCCGGATAACGGGTTCTGTNAAACATCTTTCAAAAAAGAAAGAAAAATCCTAAAATCTTATGAGGAAAGTTTTTTTTAAAAAAATTGCGGGAAAATTTATCGAATTTCGTTCCGGTTTTTTGGTTTTCCGGTTTTCTGATTTCCGGATAACGGGTTCTGTAGTGTACCTTTTTTTCAGGATTTTTATTAATTTTTTTTTAATAATTTTCTTTTTCTCTTTTTTCATTATTCTGTAATTTTCCCCATGTTTTCTCTACTTTTTGAACTAGATTTTTTTACCTTTGCAGCATATTTGAAAACTTTGTGTTCCTCTTTATTAGATGAAGAAGTAACTGTTCAGAAACTCCTTCCCGATTCTAAGGCTGAATTCACGAAAAAAGCACATGAACTGTGGTCGCAGATGAAAATGCAAAAAAAGATATGGGATGCCGTGTTACACACTGAAGACGAAGGTTGTTTATTGGTGCAGAAGCAAGTTTCGCTTTTTTTCTTCTTCTTTTCATCGTTTTATTTCTTAAGATTCTAAACTTTTTCAGCTCATTATCATTAATTTCAAAAACCTTATTTTTATGAGCTCTGGGCCCAAATGAGATTATTTCGAGGTTTGTAGTTTCGAGACCTTCTAATCTGAATATAGAAGATTGTGTATCAATGGATAGTTGACTAAATGTAAACAATAACAAGCTTCCTTAAACTGGAAGAGTCCCGTAGTGGACTGATCGAGCCTATCTTGGTAGCAAATATTCCACTCTACGTGTTGTTTCTTCCAAATTTCTACCCTTTAACCTCTTGCTTACGGNGTGCGATATGGGTCCTCGTTAAACTGTTCTACCGTAAAGTGCTCGACTTCGCGTGCAGCTCGTCTGGCTACTGAAGCGGGGGTGCCACCCGCTCCGCAGAAGATCAAAATTGTGATGGCGTGTCTTCGGATCATCCTCAGGGATGTTTCCCAGACCGTCGCCAATAGCCCATTGCGCAGCTCTAGTGCGACGTAAATGAACTACAACAACAACAACAATAAACTGGAAGAGTCCCGTAGTGGACTGATCGTTAAGTCACGGTTCCCGCCAGATCACCGAAGTCAAGCATCACTGGCTGCGGTCAGTGTGCGGGTGGGTGACCACTTGAATCAGTCGGCGTAGGGACCGAGGGTGTGCGGTATTGGTCCTCGTTAAACTGTTCTACCGTAAGGTGCTCGACTTCGCGTGCAGATCGCCGGGCTACCGAAGCTGGTGTGCCCCTCTGCAGAGGATCAAAATTATGATGGCATGTCTTCGGATCAATTGTGCAGCTCTAGTGCGACGTAAAGGAACTACAACAACATATAACACTTTATATAACGTTATCACGAGCCTATCTTGGTAGCAAATATTCCACTCTACGTGTTGTTTCTTCCAAATTTCTACCCTTTAACCTCTTGCTTACGGTGCTTAGCATGATGAAGCCATTGTGGTTCACTTATTGTACTAGCCGTAAGCAAAGGGTTAAAGGCGGGACCTGTAAAAACTGAGATGAGAATGAAGTGAGTGTAATTATGAGCGGCTGCGATCGAGTACTTTTATCGATATTTTTGGCGAAATGTCTCAGAGAAGTCATTTTAATCACTCGGTTAGTCATTTTAATGAGAATTGGAACTAAGCTTAAGTAGCATCAAACTGCTTTTATATCTTCTTTTTCTCTTGAAGGGCTGTAATGTCACTGTGTAGTCCATACTTCAGAGCTCTCTTCACTTCAAAGATCAACAAACACCCCCGTAGAGAGTTCAGAATACCAGGAATTGGAACGGATATGCTATCACTCATCATATACTATGCTTATACAGGTTAGAGGTTTTTTATTTTATAACAGCCGAGACACTTTTATTTTATAACAGTCGTTGAACAGCCGGCTCAATTTTGAGTTTACGACTATCAATGCCCAGCTCCGTAGCCTTGAAATTTTGAACCCAATCCAAAAGACAAGATAACTCTTAGATCAAGTATTGGAGGAAGTTTACCTTCGGGGAGGACTTTTAGAGGGAACTAAACCGCATCTACGTCACATGGTGAGGAAATCCACGTAAACCTCCCATGGTTAGCCTGTTGGCAAGGGGACTCTATCCCATGATCCGTCTACTGTTGAGAATATTTTACGTCATCACTGCGATCGGTGCAGGCCGAGTGCAGAATTCATATCGACCAGCCACCACTGGGATTCGAACCTGGTTCACCTTATTGAAGGCGAATGCTCTGCACCCTGAGCCACCACGTCTCAGGTACGGCTTTTATTTTATAACAGTCGTAGAATAGCTAACCCGATTTTGGGTTTGCGACTACTAATCTTCAACTCCGTTGCCTTGTAATTTTGAACCAATCCAGAAGACAAGGAAACTCCAGGATCAGTACCCCCAGAGGTATGATTTATTATAGGAACACGGAGAACTTTGTGACTTGACAGATTTTTAACGTGCATCAATCACCATTTACTACACGGGGAGTCTTCGGCCGGTGGGGATCGAACCCACTACCTCTTGGCACTGACTGATCATTGAATCACTCTTCTTTATTTAATCATGTTGGCGCATGCGCACTTCATTGACACTGAAGCGTGCTTCACTTCGCGATGCACGCATTCTTACTTGATGAGTAAAGTTCGAGGCATCTCGCTATTATTAGAGAGATTTTTCATAGTTTCCTCTTAACCCTATTTGAGCTTTACAGCTCATGCGCAAAATTTCCCTACAAATCCGCGGGGCAAAAGACTAGAAAATAAAGTTAATGATTCGGTTAACGTAAAACAAACACTAGGCGAAATTTTACAATTATTGTTTTAAACTTACAGATGAAACATGCTATAAAAAGAGCAACAAAATAGGCTTAAAAACACTTATTATTTGATAAAATGAAATCTTGCCAACTGAACTCAAATTGCATGCAAGAATATTCGTAAACTTAAAAATGGATACGACGGTTTGAGAATGTTTCTGAAATTACAAAATGAAAGCGAATTGATAAAATCAACAAAGAAGTATTCATTTAGTCGACAAATTGTGGTATTTCTGATTATTTTATTTTTATTTATTTATTAATTTATTTATTGTGATTTGATTAGTGTTTATATTTAAACGTGAGCTTGCAAGGATATCACCTCTTACACCAGTAAGCCCCCACACGGTTTTTTATAAGTAGTCTGCGCAGACAATTTAAAAAGTGAACCAGTTGTGCGCATGAAACCGAATTCTATTTTAAGAATAATTGAGAGAAATTTTTCATATATATTTGAGAATTGAATCTGTAGTGATTGACAAGTGAATAAGACAAATCAATCAAATTCATAAATTAAGCAAATTTTTAGACATATAATTTTGCTACCACTTTCGTATTTTTGATAGATTTTGTATTAAATGGCTCTTTCGTAAACTGGTTTGTCTTCATAGTGGTCTGATCGGACTACCTCTAAGAAACCGTGTTGAAACTTTGGCAGTTATAGGAGGCGTTGGCAAGACCATAGAACACAGATTGCGGCTGCTGATTGATTAGACCATATAATTTTTATTCTCTGTTTACAGTCCCTGGCTAAACTATTAGATGCCCCATAAGATTCTACGTAAGATACTAATTAGCAGGTGATATTATACAGCTTTATTGTTTTTACGCGACTGAAACAGGTTTGCACTTGTTTACGTTCGTGTATCAATTGATTAAATTAGACGATATATAATATAAATTCGACGATTGGGTAAATTAGACGATATATAATATAAATATAGAATATTTATTTTATCAGGCATTATATTAATATATCTATATATATATATATATTTCTCTTACACGGCGAAAAAAAAAGTCTTATTACAACTCCCGGAATGGCAACGCTAGAAAATCGGCCAATGATTGCCGCTAAAAATGTCACATGTCAAATCTAGCTGAGGTGGCTGAGGCATATAGCGCTTTTAAAAACGGAAACTGAAATAACCAGAGAGAGCATTCTCACCAAATGTGATCTCTTCCGAAATTCACCCTATCAGCTGCGGCAATCTCATACTATTAAGCTAGGCAGAAGTGAGTAGTCTTTGTCGATAGATCTCTATTTTAGTATTTTGTCGAAAGCGCTTTTTTTCACGAATTTATATATTACGAATTTATTTGACGATTTTTGATTTATATCACGAATTTATTTGTTTTACTAGAATTTATTTGTTTATGCAGGTTTTTCCATTGCAATTCACTTATTTCAATTTTTAATAGACTTAATTATAGCCAAAATTTTAACCTTTTTAAAGAGATATCAGTTTTAGAAATTTTATCTTAAGATTTTATACTATAGCACATTTCTAATAGGTTTAACGAATTACATGTCATTTATTTGAATTCAAATTTATTTTAATGACTTAGTATTTACTAAAAAGATGTAATTTTTAAAAAAAAAAGTTGTTATATGGATTTGAATGATTGTTTTGAATTCTTAGAATTTTGTGCTTTTGCGATGTACCTAAGTTAGTAGCGAGCGAAGCAATTTTCGGGGGTTGGCGAGCGTTAGCGAGCAGGGGGAGCAGCCCACTTGTTATAATTATTAGACCAAATTATTAGACGCACTGTATTGTTTTATTGAATTTACAGGTACTGAATTTTACTGAATGTTGATATACATTAGCAGGCTTGTGGTGCTCAATTTAGGCTTATAAGCCTTCGTCAAGTAGAAAGACAGATAGAACAATTCAGAGAAGGACATCATGAAGAATACATCCACGGTTACGGCGGGATTCGAACCCGCTACCTCCACGCTTTGCACAGTTTTCGTAATTAAGATTTTACATAGAATATTATAGTGCGTCTAATAATTTGGCCAGGGATTGTATTTTGTTCACTTTTGAAGAAGATTACAGTGATGTTTAGATTGCAATTAGAACTAGAGTTTTGTTGACCACAGGTAAAACCGGAGTTACGGAGGAAAACGTGGCAAGTTTACTTCCAGCCGCGGACCAGTTCTGCGTCGACGGAATGATAGAAGATTGCAGCCATTTTTTAATCGAGAGGATGAACTACGAGAATTGCATCGGCATCGGACAATTTGCGAGATGTTACTTCGTATTTAGTCTGGAGACAACAGTATATTGGTATAGAAAACTTTGGTACTTTTTAAGAATCACTTTATCGGATGCTCAACTTAACGTTTGTTCTCTATTGAATTGCGACAGTGTATATGTTTCCGGCAAAGTTTGAAATCCGGCGTTCTACAGAATGCCTAGGCATTGTATATAACGCCTAAAACTAACCGGCAATGTATTAAACGATTTATATTTCCCACATTTCCTAGGCATTCTATAGAATGCCAAATGAGAAACCGGCAAAGTACAAAATACATCTCCAATTCTTTTCGTAATGTAATTCAAAATGTCATTAAAGCCTGCCATGTTGCAACAAGTAGGTTAATTTCTTATTTTTTATATGAAAATTTTGTTTCCCTTCCTTTTGTTCCAAGAAAGGCATAAATTATGTTTTGTACAACTTTCATTTTACTTCACGCATTTTGAATTAATTTTGAATTAACTCTCAATATTTTTCAGAATAACATTTTCATTTTTGAGAAATGAACATCATTTACACAATAACTCCATCAGGACGTTTTGTTTCATACTCTGCCTAAATAGCGTTTGTCATTCTATAGAATGCCTAGGTATTGTATACAATGCCCAGGGAAAGTACGTAATACTTCTCATACTTCGTACCTTGCATAAAAACAACCGGCATTATATACAATGCCTATGCATTCTATAGAATGTCAGCGTTACATACTTTGCCTGTATACATATAGAAAAATGTACAGGGGCATGATGGAGTAAAAAAAATTCAACACTTGATAATTAATTTGAGAATCAGTAATTGTTAAACAGGTAGTAAAAAAACGCGTAGGCCGCTGAAATGCAACAACAGAAAAGAACCCAAAAAAGGCGCCTGGTCTGAACCAGTGACTGCTATAATGTTGTTTAGGAACCTTTCTTTTGCTCAAAATGAATGGCAGAGCTCAGTTAAATGAAGGTGACATTTTAGTAAATTTAAATCAATCTTTACAGTTGATACTTAGGACATGAAGACTAGGTCATTTATTTTAGGACATTTCCAATTGGCAAATTCTATTAATCATTAACACTCATTTAAGTTGCGTACTTCATGATATTCGTATTCTCGGCGAGTAATTTGATAGCCAAAATACCTAGGCTATCCTTAGATTATTCCATGGCTCTTTATTGACATATGCACCTCTAACATTCTTTTACTCCAAAATCACTCAGATTGTCTTTTTGGATCTTCGGTTATTTTATTTTATTTTATTTTATAACCGTCGTTGAACAGCCGACCCAATTCTTGGGTTTACGACTACTAATGTTCAACTCCGTAGCCTTGTAATTTTGAACCTAATCCAGAAGACAAGGAAACTCCTGGATCAGTACCCCCAGAGGACAGATTTAACGTGCATAAGTCACCATTTACTACACGAAGAGTCTTCGGCCGGCGGGGATAGAACCCACGAACTCTTGGACATGGGCTCAGTGCCCTACCAACCAGGCTATGAGTAACTTCTTTTTTACAACGTTTAAAGTGTATTTCTCATTTTATATGATTATTTTGAATTGTAAATGCTGGAATGCTTTTGACTTAGAAATTTTTTCCTCTGTAATTTGCTATTTATTCTATTTCAATTCTAAAAGGTACTTGATGAGCCATTTTGTAGAAGTAGTTCGGAAGAGTGAAGATTTTTTGGAATTGCCTCTGCAAGATGTTATAAAATTGCTGAATTCTGACAGAATCAATGTGCGCAGCGAAGAAACAGTTTGGGAAGCCGGCATCCGTTGGATCGATCACAAGTAAGTGAATTGATAATTTACAAAATTCTTACAAATTGTTACAAAATTAATACAAAACAAGCAACAATTTTTTTAAAATTGTTTTAATACAATACCAAATAATGCAAGTTTTGAATTGTGTCAGTTAATATTTTATTAACAAAGATTAAGTAAAAAAATTATCTTCAGTTAAAAAAAATTTTTACGATGTTTAAGTTAAATAATAAAAGAATATTAAAATATTATTAAGTAATTTTAACATGAAATTACTTTTAGATAATACAAGTTTGTTAATGCAAGTTTAAATAATAATGGTGTGTAAGAAATTTTTGATTTATAAAAATACGTTTGACCGGTATGGAGCGAAGTATGCCATAAGAGCCTAAATTTCCAGCCATTCTCCTATTGGTGCATTATTTCATATATCACAACTGCCCTCAAGAATTTTGAGATTTAGAAAGGAAAGAATTGTTGAGGAAAGAATATGCTTAGAAAGGAAAGAATTTTTGAGGAAAGAATATGCTAAGAAAGGAAAGAATATGCTAAGAAAGGAAAGAATTGCTGAGGAAAGAATATATGTTTAGAAAGGAAAGAATTGCTGAGGAAAGAATATGCTAAGAAAGAAAAGAATTGTTGTGGAAAGAATATATGTTTAGAAAGGAAAGAATTGCTGAGGAAAGAATATGCTAAGAAAGGAAAGAATTGCTGAGGAAAGAATATGTTTAGAAAGGAAAAAATTGCTGAGGAAAGAATATGTTTAGTAAAAAAAGGATTTTTTATGTCTAATTTTATAACTAACTAATAATTAACACTAAATAGCGTGTTTTAAGAGTACCATTAAGATTTAATTCATCTGAATTTTTTAATCTTTTGAACCATTAAAGTTGAGTTTTAGTGTGTAAAAATTCGATCATTACCTCAAAAAGTTTTTAAAAAAATGATTCACTCTTAATAATTTTTGACTTAATGATCGGATCTTCACGTACATGAACTCATTCGTAATGATTCAAGGAGTGACCTCAAATTAGCTAATTGATTAGTGCAGACGATATTTCAATTTACGAAATTAGACACAAAAGGTTTCTTTCTCCAAAAAACACCTTTTTTTGACCAATTTATATTTCTGACCCTCAAAATATAAGGAATAGCTGCAATCTGGAAATATGGTCCCAATAGTTTGGTCAGCAGACTGGTCCAAAAGTTAGACCCATTAATATTAATTTTACTTTTTGTGTCATATTTTTAACAACATTATAAAAATCGCATATCCAAATATGATTCCAAGCAAAAAATAATTGTTAATAATAATTTACTAAGTTTTATTATTTAATTTAAAAACAGACAAAAAAATTTTGAATTGCAAGGTAATCAAATTTTATCATTTTAAGGAACATAATTTTGCATATCAAAATACAAAATTTGAACAAAATTGGTGGAACCTGAAAAATCAAATTTTAACTATTCAACTTCTTAAAAATTCGACTTTTCGTCTGATTTTGATCAAATTTTATAACCCAAATATTGGAATCATATTTTCCATTTTGAGGGTAGGGAATTCAACTCCATCAAAAAAAATTTATGTTTATTCGGAGAAAGTAAGTTTTTGTGTCTGATTTCGTAAGTTTAAATATCCTTTGCACTAAGTAATTATCAGGTCACCCTTGAACCATCATTATCTAGTTCAATTTTTAAATCAAAAGTTATTCAGGTGATTTCTTTTTCTTTTGCTCATAGTTGTATATGTGTGTGTATTGTTATTAGGGTTGATGAGAGGCGGCAATACATTGATTCTATAATGAGATGTGTCCGACTTGGTTTACTTGACACTCAGTACTTCATTGAAAAAGTCAAGAAGCACCAGTAAGAAGCACCAGTTCTTCTTTTAAAAAAAATCATATCTATCTATTTTAAATTTTCAATAGTAACGTTAAGTGAAGTTATTGTGGGATATTTTTAAAATTGCAAAGCATGCTTTATCAAAAAATCTTTTTTATATTGACAAGTAAAAATATATTCCATGTGCTGCGGAAATTTTTAGAACATATTGTCACAAATACAGCCTTGGACGTATAACTTTATGAAACTTAATTTATCATCTTAAAATATGAATGAAACATTATTCTAACTCACAGTAAACACATTTCATTTTTATATTTTATATTATAACAGTCGTTGAACAGCCGACCCAATTTTATGGGTTTACGACTATTAATGTTCGATTCCGTAGCCTTGTAATTTTGAACCCAATCCTGAAGATAAGGAAACTCCTGGATCGAGTATTGGGAGAAATTTGCCATCGTGGAGGACTTATTGATGGAGCTAACTCACATTTGCGTTACACGGAGAGAAAGATCACGAGAGCCTCCCACGATTAGCCTGGCAGCAAGGGGACTCTAATCCATGATCCGTCTACCACTGAGGATATTTCACATCAGTACTGTGGTCGGTGCAAGCCGGAGGCAGAATTTGTATCGAATGGGATTCGAACCTGGTTCGCCTCATTTGAGGGCGAACATTCTGTCTCCTGAGCCATCGCGACTCACAGTAAACACATTGAATATAGATGCAATTTTAAAATTATCTCTAAACATTTCAAATGCAACTTTTGGGAGCCGCAGGAGATGGCTCAGGGGATAGAGTGTTCGCCTTCAAATGAGGTTAACCGAGTTCGAATCCCAGCGATGACTGATTGATGCGAATCCGCATCCGGCTTGCACCGACCACAGTGACGTGAAATATCCTCAGCGGTAGACGGATCATGGGTTAGAGTCCCCTTGCCGTCAGACTAACCGTGGGAGGTTATGGTGGTCTTCCTCTCCATGCAACGCAAATGCGTGTTGGTTCCATCGAAAAGTCCTCCACGAAGGCAAATTTCTCCCAATACTTGATCCAGGAGTTCCCTTGTCTTCTGGATTGGGTTCAAAATTACAAGACTACGGCCATGTAATTTACATATTATATATTATACATGCATATTATATATTATACATACATATTACATATTATACATACATCTTTACATATTACACATATTATTGGGTTTACGTAGCAGTCGTAAACTCAATAATTGGGTAGGTTGTTCAACGACGGTTATAAAATAAAAAAAAAAGTGTAATTTTTGGAATTTTTTTAAAGAAAAATAAGAAAAAAATATCCGAATTAAAAGTATTAATAATTTTTGTACAGTTCAAGAGAAGTATTTTACACCTAACTAAAGGAGATAAAAAAACTAAGTTGATAAGTCTAATACTCATAAAGTTATGAAAGTCACAAGTACTAATATTATACTTTTTAATTTATACCTTTAGACGTATGAAATCCTCCTAATTTTGAATCTATTGTTTACTTTTGGTTTAAAAAAAATACATAAAATACGCAACACCTCATTTGTCAAGATGGTATACAAGAGGTATGAAAAGGTATCAATAATATGCATAAATGCAAAAAAAAAATTTTTTTTTTAAACACGAAACTTCTGAAAACTCCAATTGGCTTGGTTCTGATCACTTTCAGTTTATAGAAAATAATGCACAAAATTCACTCGTCTGCACTGCTGTGTCAGACTTGTAAATAGAAGTACAAAACGTTTGATTTAATACAAATTTAATAACTTTCGAGTTTTATTTAATTTCATTCAATTTAATGCATCTTCCTTGTTTAGATTGACAGTATATACAAAATTGAGCATACTAATTCTCCACTAACATCTGTCTTGGTTTTAGATTCATTCGAGTCAGTATAAACATAAATAAATAGAATTAAATCGTTATTTGCCTGTATGGCAAACTTTATGCTTTTACCCTCACCCCTCAGTATCTTGCGGCTCACCTGGTGGAAGGGAGCAACTCTTAAAACAATTTTTCCTGCTTAATTCCGTATTGAACCTATTATTATGTGATATGGTTCACATCATTTCCCCCCTTTCCATCTAGCTGTATTGAGTACAAGGAGACCTAGTCAAACCTAATTAATTCTGTATAGAGCTTCTTTTATGTGATACTGCCTACGTCATTTTTTCCCTTTTCCATCTAGATATACGGAGAGCAACGAGACCTAGTTAAACCTAATTATTTCCGTATTGAACAACTTTAATGTGATATTACCTACATCATTTCAGGCCCTTTCCATCCAGCTATATTGAGAACAACGAGACCTAGTTAAACCTAATTAATTCCGTATTGAGCTACTTTTATGTGATATGGCTTACATCATTTTCTCCCTTTGAATCCAGCTTTATTGAGAACAACGAGTCCTACTTAAACCTAATTATTTCCGTACAAGGAGACCTAGTCAAACCTAATTAATTCTGTATAGAGCTTCTTCTATGTGATACTGCCTACATCACTTTTTACCCTTCCATCCAGTTATATCAAGAACAACGAGGGCTAGTTAACCTAATCAATTCCGTATTGAGCTACTTTTATGTGATACTAACTACATCATTTTTTACCCTATACATCCAGCTATCTCGAGAACAACGAGAGCTGCGACGACATAGTGATTGAGACACAGGGATTTCTGTATGACGTGGCAACGATATCGCAGAAAGTGGCAGAAGTAGAGATGCCGATACTTGCCATTCCACGAATACCATATGCAGTCCTCTTCACAATCGGAGGATGGAGTGGGGGTCCAACAAATGTTATAGAGACGTATGACGCAAAAGCAGATAGATGGATAAAGGTAAGATGACCCTTATTTTCCGAATTGCATGATTTAATGAGTTTTTCTGGTCTCTCATAAAAATGAATTCAAAAACCCTAATGAACGAATTATTTGCAACAGCCGAAAAAAAATCACGAAAGGTTTAATATAACTAATTTCTGATAAATTGCATCCAGCAAAATATTGAGCTGCTAATATTTGAAAGAGCGTCGGTGCAGTCCAAGAAATTAATGTATTCTTTACAATCGATCCAAGCAATAATCATCAAATCGAACCGAATCACTTATTTCGATTATAACTGTACGTCTTCAAGGAAGATCAAATGGCGTTGAGAAAAGCTGTGGGAAACGACATCAGTCAGCTATGCCAAGCCAATCAGGATCAGGAAGATCAGGAAGCCTATGCCAAGGCAACCCAAGAATAAGATTGTTATTGTTGCTGTTGTAGTTCATTTACGTCGCACTAGAGCTGCACAATGGGCTATTGGCGACGGTCTGGAAAACATCCCTGAGGATGATCCGAAGACATGCCATCACAATTTTGATCTTCTGCTGAGGGGATGGCACCCCCGCTCCGGTAGCCCGACGACCTGCAAGCGAAGTCCAGCACTTTACGGTAGAACAGTTTAACAAGGACCAATACCGCACAAGAATAAGATTGTTGTTGTTGTAGTTCATTCACGTCGCACTAGAGCTGCACAATAGGATATTGGCGACGGTCTGGGAAACACTCCTGAGGATGATCCGAAGACATGCCATCACAATTTTGATCCTCTGCAGAGGGGATGGCACCCCCGCTCCGGTAGCCCGACGACCTGCACGCGAAGTCGAGCACTTTACGGTAGAACAGTTTAACGAGTACCAATACCGCACACCCTCGATCTCTACGTAGGGTTATCGAAGTAGTCACCCACCAGCACACTGACAGCAGCAGTGATGCTTGACTTCGGTGATCTGCTGGGAACCGTGTCCTAACGATCAGTCCAATGCTGGACCCTTGGAATAAGAAGGGAGTGCTAAGATTCTTTTTCGAATAAAAGTGTATTATTCCTGCTTTCAATTGTCTTACAGAAAATACTATTGAGAAAAATTCTTTTATCTTATTTATCAAAGTCTCGCTTATCCTCCGACATGCAATTTCGAGTTTTGCCTTGGGAAATTTAAAACAATTCTATATACGTTTTTTTTTCTGTTTGCCACATGCAAAATTGTTTTTGTTATTAACTCTGCTAGAGAGCTACGACAAAGAAATTTTTGTTGAAAATCTAGAACTCATCTCTTTGTGATGATTCGGAGACAATACTGGACCATTCATGAATTGTTCAGGTTATTAATCCACAGCCATCTTAATGACCACCTCCGCATATTAGTCCACAGCCGTCATAATAACAAACGCATAAAACTAAACCTTGGTAAAGGCCTGGTTTCTTAAGACAAATGTCTTCTCTGGGCGTCAGCGGAAAGTAGACGTACCGCTGACGCCAACAAAATACTGTTTTGTTAGCTCAGCGTGAACAGTCGGTCAAACGCAGACATTATCTCGCATTGCGCATGCGTTAATAACGTAAACAAATATTTGTTTTTAATTTGTATTGATTTTGTTATTGTTGAGCAGTGCTTTAGAGAACAAATAATGAGTTTGTCCAAGAAAAAAAACATAGCTTAGCTAAATGAAGAGGAAGAAGAAGCTATGTTTAATGTTAAAATCAAAATCTTCTGATTTCAATGCTCTGTTGGATGTTGTCCGCCATTGCTTCTGTTGTTAACGTTACGTTATAATCCAACTGCAGTTGATTCGGACGTCAGTCGTCGTTCAAGCTAAGCATTCGATGACGTATGCTGTCCAACTCACAAATTGACCAATCAGGGGTAAGCGCTCGCTTCAAGCTGACGTTTTGTAACGCCGACCTGTCCTAAGAAACCAGGCCTTAACATGTATTGCATGACCATAATTTAAATTAGACAAACCTTGTGCAAATACGGATTAGTTCAAAATTATAAGATAACGGACGTTGATAGTCGTAAACTCAATAATGGGTTCAACGCCTCTTTTAAAATGCAAAATAAACTCTTGAGTTAATTTTATATCCTCATTCATTTCTTCAACATTCTCACTCACTTTTTTTTAACTTTTAAAACGCATTTTAAATGACTGTTTTGGTTTTTTAATCATATTAGTCCAAAGCCGTCATAATGACATACGCATAAAATGAAACCGTGGTTACATGTATTGCATGACCGTAATTTAAATTAGACAGACCCATGGATTGGTAAACGATAAACACACATTTTGATGGCCAAATAAAATAACTGCATACATGTTTTTTAAAGATAAATTGAAAAGGAATAAAGTTTGTTTCAGGTACGTATGACAGATCCCTTTGGTCCTCGAGCTTACCACAAACTGGCGGTCATCGGAACTGACATCTACGTCATCGGTGGCTTTGATGGTCTTAACTACTTCAACGACTGCCTTCGGTTTAATGTTGTCACTAAAGAATGGTCAGAAGTGGCTCCGATGCAATGCAAAAGGTAATAATCCTTCAAGGAACACTCTACGCGTTCAGCTAGAATTAAACTTTTCATGTTACCTTCGCTTTTGGGTAGCATAGGGATATTTTTGCACCAGTGGTAAAATATATGTAGTACCAATAAAACTAACGCTTGGAAGATTTCGAAAGTATAAAAAATAAAAACTTTTTTATTTATTTATTCAAAAAAAGCATAGAAATGAAAAGTTAGGGAGATAATTGTTAAAGTAATATTTCAATTTACATGTCACAAGAAAATGCTTCTAGCAATGTTTCTCTAATAAAACTTTTTGGTTGGAATGTAAGGTCTAGCACTGTTTGCACACAGCAGCACCGTAACAAATTAGGAAAAATGGTCTTATTTTAATTTCAGTGGAAAATGCTTCGTAAGAGGAAAAATGCTTCGTGTGGGAAATGCTTCGTGTTATAGGAATTAATTCCATTATTCATAATTTGAAATAAAAATCTTGTATAATAAAAGCATTGTTTGTTTTTTTTAAGAAAAAACGTTTTTTACGTACATAACATATTAAAAATCATTCAATATAATATTTGTTCTAGAGCTATAGTTTGTAACTAAGAAATAGGAAAGAAATGTTAATTATTTTTAAAAAGTTGATAATACTAAATACAATTAGTTGAAGAAGTGTTTTAACTGATATCATTCATTAACTATTAATGTAACTTAATAATTTTATTTAATAAACTTTCAATATTATATTTTTATGAGAGTATCGATATAATGGGTTTTTTATACCTTAAATATCCTCAACTTGAAAATTGTCATCTATTGTGAATAGTTTCAGAACCTTTGTTGAGATGAGTATGTTTTCGTAGGTGTTACGTAAGTGTAGCTTGTTTGAATAACGTTATATACGCGATAGGAGGCTATGATGGACATTATAGGCAGAATACAGTGGAGAGATACGATATCAAGACAAATCAAGTAAGTTTTTTCAATTCCTCACTTCCATTTTGTTTCAGATTACTTCGATTTGAAATCCTGCTACCGTCATTTTAATAAGTTAACTGAAATTAACCGTCATTTTAATAACTATCTAACTAAAAATTTAAGATGAACATGAGAATTCTTGGCCATAGATGGCGCCACTGGAAAACAAGAACAATCGCACCCCTCTGCCTTAACAGGCATATGCCAACAACAACAACCGTTGTTGAACAGCCGACCCAATTTTGCGTTTACGACTACTAACGTTCAACTCCGCAGCCTTGTAATTTTCAACCAATCCAGAAGACAAGGAGCCCCCTGGGCCAATGCCCCCAGAGGAATGATTCGTTATGGGAACATGGAGGACTGTGTCACCCGACAGATGTANTATATATATATATATATATATGGTGTTTTCAATAAAAGAAACAAATTAGATAATTTCTGAGCTCAAATCTGCTGTATTTCATAAGATATTAATGTTATTTTGTAATTCTGGTGAGTTTGAAGTGAAAATTTGCTTTTGTTATTTACAGATATATTGTTAAAAAAGGTGACATGGTTGCTAGATTTTGAATAACTCGCTTTTTTTGCAGTCTTGATTGGGCCCCTTTCCATTTGTTTACTACTGTTTGTTCGTGTTGCAAGCTGTGTACCATTTTACGTTAGTGTTAGCATATTGTTCGAGGAGCAAGATTAAGTTTAATAATAAGTAATCAAATACCACGTTTGCAAGAATCTTAACACAATGATCACGAGCCAAATGGCTTTAAAATACACCGGAAACAGTAACCCGGAAGTATAAGTGGCATACAGCTTGCAGCTCTTCCTAGTGTTGAGAACACCATCCATATACAGACAGATAGAGAGAGAGAAAGAGATTATTAATTATTAAGAGATTTCAACTAAGCAGTTATCAGTCCTTATATATAATATATTTTATAATCTAGAATTGATTCTTTTTTTTTATTAAAGTGGACATTTGTTGCCCCCATGAATGTTCAGCGGAGTGATGCGGATGCTACAACTTTGAACGATCGTATTTACGCTGTGGGTGGCTTCAGTGGCAATGAATGTTTGGCGTGCGGGGAATATTACGATCCGATTACTGACCAGTGGTCACTTTTAACTTCTATGAGTCAGAGAAGATCTGGAGTGTCTGTCATAGCTCACCGCGGATGCATATTTGCTCTGGGTGGATTCAACGGTCTGTCAAGGCTTAAAGATGGGGAAAAGTATAATCCCTTAACAGATGAATGGTATAATATTGCGGAAATGAGTTACCCAAGAAGCAACTTTGCCGTCCAAGTGAGTATTCATTGCTTTAAACAATCCACAGAAAATCCTATCCCTAATGATGGAATCGTATCCCTAATAATCATCCCTAATTATCCCTAATAATGTCATATAAAGGAAGGAGACTTTTGAATGGTTAACTTCATAGAGTGATGTACGATAATTATTAACAAGAAGTACAAAACATTTAATCTTAAAATAAGGAAAAAAATGGAATGAGAAAAAAAAAAAGGTTTAGCTCTTACATGCATCTATATGCATGTAACTATAAAAATTTTCTATATATGTCAATAATTTCTCTAAATTATCAAAATTAAAATTTTATAAATAAAATTCGATCTTTTATTAAGCATAAACTTTGAATTATTCATCATAGTATAATTATTTTGCGCACATCTAGTTTTGGGCCAATTCAAGTTAACTGACCATCAAATGCGGTTCTGTATTAAGGTAAGAAAAAAATACATCCCACTATACTCTATTTGCGCTTTTATTTTCATATTTTGTAATCTGGCAAACTTGTTACGGAAATATTTTAAATAATTTTTGAAAAATGTCGGTAAAAGGAAGGATTTTTGAATTTGCTTCTCGGTTTATACGTTACATTTTGTGTTTTATTGAGTATTTTTCTTGAATTTTTATTTTCTAATTTTTACTTGATATGTTTTATTTTATATTTTTTGTTTCATATGTTTTATTTCTCTTTCCTTTTTCTATGTTTCTCACACTGTCGTATTGATATATTTTGCTTTAGCTATATCATATTAATACAATATCAGAAATTATACTGATTTTGCAGACAATCGTGTGGGGTGATGAAGCGATTATATCTTTTTTTATTTTGTTTTTCGGCTTTCTTAAAAGTTCTTTTAAAAATATAAGACATTTAACTTTTTAATATATATATAAACACAAAGAAGAAGAATAGAAGAAAATTAAATAGAAAGATTTTAATAGGAAAACGTAAAGGTCTTCATCAGGACACATCCTTTACAATAAATGCGATATTTCTGAATAAGGAATAATTATATATATATATATATATATATCTTTGGTGTAGGTACTGGATGGAATGATCTTTGTAATTGGTGGATTTGATGGGGCGACAACGATCGGCAAAGTAGAATGTTATGATGATCGTGAAAACGAGTGGTACGAAGCAACATCTATGAATACTTCTCGGTCTGCCCTGGCCGCGAGTGTGTTGCCGAGGCTGCCTAATGTCGACGATTATATCTACAAGAATAGGAGTGGTCTCTTGGAAGAGTTACGTCTGAAAGTGAGACATCAAACAGAAGGATCTAGAAATCGATACAATGCTTTTATGGATTATGGAGAACTCAGATTAGGCAAGTGTTTCGCCATTTTTTTTAAAGAAACTATTATTTTTTTCGGAGATTCAGTCTTTTTAAAGCTTATAAAATAGGTTTTAAAAAGGATTTTTCATCCTTTAACAAATTCGTGTTAATCCAAATGGACATGCGATGCCGGTTATAATTTTCTTTTCAATCATTTATAAATGTACAATATTATATTACGTTTTTCGGTTCTTTATATATTAGTTGAATACTCGTTCTTAGAGCAGGGTAAAAATAATTAACACTTTCCTTTAGATGACAAATATGTGTTTCTGGTATAGTTTTTGCTGAAAATAACAAAATCGTAATGCTTTTCTTTTTTTTCCTGCCGGTCAGTGTGGTGAACTGGATTCGAATCCCAACGATAGCTGGTCGATACGAATTTCGCATCTGGCTTGTACCGACCACAGTAATGACGTAAAATATCCTCAGTGGTAGACGAATCATGGGTTAGAGTCCCCTGGCCGTCAGGCTAATTGTGGGATTTTTCGTGGTTTTCCTCTCTATGTAACGCAACTGAGGGTTAGTTTCATCAAACATTTTCCGAAAAGGCGAATTTCTCCATATATTCGATCCAGGAGTTCCCTTCTCTTCTGGATCATATTCAAAATTATAAAGCTACGGAGTTGAACATTACCAGTCGTAAACCCAAATATTGGGTCTACTGTTCAACGGTGGCTATAATCATTATTACTGGCAGTCTACAGTTCACTTACTTTCTTATGTTCATATCACTATTATTAATTTATGATGCTCGTCTATGAAGACTAAAGTAAAAAGGAAAATAAAAATTCACTGAAAATTAATAAATATACCATCTTTTCTTTCACTTATTTCTTTCCCTTTTCAATTTATTTATTTTGTTTCGTCAGGTTGACAGTGAGGGGAATGTTATAGTTGAAGCTCCGAGACACATGAAGAAAGATGCTATTACCTTTGATCTAGCATGTAGAGGCTGAAGTTATAGAGAAGAATAAAAATCAGCAAAAACTGTTAAACGGCCTACAATCATTTCATTTGAAGTAAAACGTAAAATAAAACATCAAATCTAAAAATAACTGCTCTATTTTCTTTGTAGTGTATCTACCACTACAAAAATTCAATTCTGTTGTTGTTTCTAATGCCACTTGCCACACGGACAAGCCTGCTTGTTGAAACCGAGCAATTTAAGACAGAGTTTGCCTTTCTTTTTTTTCAGTGGCGCCATCCAACGGCCAAGAATTCGTCTTCAGCCACACGCACGTCACTGCCCGTTTTATAGGGCGGACCCATTCACACATCCATTCATTCATCCACATGTCGTAATTTTGACCTGAATCGGAAAACGATCGCTCTCCAATCCAGTACCCCCAGAGGTATTGATTTGTTATGGGAACATGGAGGACTTTGCGACTCGACAGATTTAGCGTGCATTAGTCACCATTTACTAAACGGGGAGTCTTCAGCCGGCGGGGCTCGAACCCACGACTACTTTTTCACAGATGAATGTCGATCAACATTCATCGATATGACTCTCCCCACATTGGTGACCCTTGGGCGTGATGTGAACATGCCTACCTTGGCAGGACTGCCCACTACGATTTGAACACGATGAATAGTCCGCATTGAACCGTTGACTTACTGTTTGTGACTGCGACATTGTCCTCCTCACGCTGTTGCTTCTCAGTCTCGATCACACGCGACGTACAATGTAAGCACTCGACTACTAGGGGCAACACGAGAGCGACCTCGACCGTGAACTTAATACAGCTTTCACAATCAACACTCTAAAAAGTACGGTGATCTTAATACAACTCTCCGGGGTTTTCACACAACTGCTATAAATCAACTAGTGGTATCCGTTCATCGAATTCTATCTCAGATATAATTCCGGTGTAAATTTTTTTCTTAATTTATTATTCAAATTGAAGCTCTCTTCCTCACACTTTAAAATTCACATCCTGTCTTTTCATCTATTTTTTATTCAATTATGTATTAATTACCATTTTGTCGGTTACCCCATTAACAAACTCGTGAGAAAGACTTTTTCCCTAGCCCTATTTAATAGACCAATTCTATATAACCATAGACCGATATAATAGTCCTATATTATATATATAATAGACCAATTTTACGAAGATTTTCCTTATTCCCTAAAACGAAACATTTTACGGATTTACTTTGTAAGATTTTCTCTAACTTTTATCAAGGAGCACAGTGATTTTGTGACACTTTGATAACTCACTCGAGTTATTATTAAATAAATTTTGCGTTCCCTGGCAAACTCCTCAAACTCGCTGGCAACATCTGTTATTTTTCGCCCTTCTTCGATCTTTCCAATAATTCGGCCACACTTAAAATCATCTAAGTGATATCGGGAAGACATGCCGAAAATTTCAAGTTCGTCAACTAAATCTTTCCTGTAAAACTTTGACTTGAAACGACAACTCTCCACCCGCGTCAAAACCTTTAAAGCTCTTATCAGCGCTATCACGTGATGAACAGACGTGGGAAAAAAATTTGCATACGCATACCTCTTCTTGCTATATCCCGCACTTATTCTAATTTTCCACATTTTGCTTCCTTTCATTTTGTGGTTGCTATGGATGATAGCGTTATTCGTCCTTAACAATTGTATACGCACGTATACGCACTCATACGCGAGTGAGATTACGTCCGCTAAAGTCAGGTTTTATATACAGTGCCTGGCCAAATTATTAGACGCACTATAAGATTCTATGTAAAATCTTAATTATCTGGTGATACTCTATACAGCTTTCTTGTTTTTGCGCAGCTGAAACCGGCTTGCACTCGTTTACGTTCGTGTATTAATTGGTTAACATTGTAATGCAATACATTCAAAATAAATACAAATGGGAAGTACATAAAAAAATCTCCTGAATAAAAACCCATTACATGTATGTTTAAATATAAAAGTATTGCATACAAACTCGTGCAAAACATGTCATTATTAATGAACTGCAATGCGTCTTATAATTTGATCTAATTATTATAATATACTAATATAATACCCGATACAATAAATATTCTATATTTACTTAATATATCGTCTAATTTATCCAATCGTCATATCTATATCTATATTATATAAAACGCTAATACATACGTATGTATGTATGTATCAATAAAACCTTCTTTTTT